ATTATTATTATTATTATTATTATTATTATTATTATTATTATTATTATTACTATTATTATTATCGCTTGATTATAAAACTGGATATTTTTCTCTTTTTTTTCGCAACGGGTATAAGTTTAGATAAGGGGAAACCAATGATAATCAAGTCAATCAATAACGTCTTTTATTAGCAAACAGTTTCGATTAATCTCTCTATGAGGAAGCGATCTTATTGGCTATTGTCCAAATCACATTTGACGTTCCAACAACTAGCAACAAGTAGCCATTGTTAAGCCCATTATCAGTTTAAATGTTCATGATTCGTCGTAAAGATTTGCCCGACAAGAGCATATTTTAAATAAACTTATAGCCGTTACGAAAGAAGACCTCTTGCAACGCGAAAAAAAAAACAAAAGGACATTTTGAGGCAGCAGGTGCCACTTAGTTTTCGTTTCGAAAATTTGCATAATTGCTCATATTTATATCAATTTGAAAATGTCGCCCAGTCTGCATTTCACGTGAATTTGAAAAGCGCGTTTTTTGCAACCATCTTCCTGCGATATGATTATTATAGCTTTTTGCAAATTGCCGATCAGGTGATAGATTATACCACTAGAAAGGTAATTGAATCGATAAACAGTAAATGGATAAAAATTTGGCTTTGTTTTTCTTTTCTTTTTTTTTTTTTTACCAAAATTAAAACCGAGAATTCAATCAGTTGAGCAAAGTCGAAAAACAGTCGAATTTACCGACAGGCCCCAGCCTTAATCTAATACATCAAAATTTTATTCGTTGTCATTAGTTGGTAGATGATTGGGGCCATCCGTAGACTGACTTGATTAATTGATCCATTATAGATTGTAGGTTTGCATCTTTTGGAGACATTTATTGTGAGCGAATAACACCTTTACTTTCAATCGCAAGTCAAACTTCAGCGTTTTAATTTAATTGAATGAGTATGAATGCAAACGAAAATATACGTGAAAGGAAGCATTTCTGCTTGTCGTCTTATATGGAAAGACAGGCCATATTAATTTTGCGGAATTTCAAGCTTTGCCACAAATATGTATATTTAATTCTGGGTTCGTGTGATTAGTGGGATTAGTTTTATTTGTCTGTCTGTCTGCTAGTTTCTTTGTTAAAGCCATGCCAGATCATTTATTAAATCAATGACTTTGCTTTAAAGAATTTTTCTCTTCTATCCTCGACAGACGTAAGTTTTATATCAGCTAAGTTTCGTCTTTTCAATAATGTTGTTTTCCTTATATTGCGCTCTTTTGGTATGTTGAGTGTATATGTATACATATATATATATATATAAGTGTATATATGTATATATATATACATATAAGTGTATATATATATAAATGTATATATATTTATATATATATATATATATATTTTTAACTAGTAAACGTTACGAAAATAATCAAACGATTGCTATGAACTGACTCGGTTTAAGTCCAATACAATTTTGTTTACCTTATTGATAATATTAAATTCTTCATTGAAAGCTGAATGTTTAAGAGGTATGTGTCGAATTATTTCGAATATTAACCCATTATCTCAATTCCCATGACCGCGAATATATCAAAATAGACTAATATGTAGTTTTTCTTAGGTCAAAAACATATATCATATAAGTAGATATATTGCGGGTTGTTGCGGGAAGGCGATGGCGAATACGATTAGCAATTTTGGACAGAAAAACGGTGGATTATAGCGTATTGCTTAGAAGAGTAGTGAGATCATGGAAGGGGAAAAAGATATAATATCGGAAAAATTTCAAATTTAATGCTTCGCGCGGTCAACCGCTTATTGTAACTATATTTATTTTTAGGAAAATCTTGTGTTTTTGGCATAAGCAAAAATCATTGACTTGGAGCTTGTAAGATCTACAGCAAATGATTGAATCCTTCTATTTACTTTTGGCCCATAAAGTTACTAACTTTCTTATATGTACATGTAACGATTTAATTACCCTTCATGCGATATAATTGCGGGAGGACAGGTAAATAGCTATAAAAAATATTTGTCGTTTGAGGGAAACTTATTTGATTCCACTTTATAGTTTATAGGGGCTCAATTCAATAGCTGTGTGCTACTTGAGATTTTTTTTTGGGGAGTTTCTGGGAGGTAATAGATCAATCCAGGCATCGATATGCCTCAAATATGTGAGATGGCTCACTCACATATATCGATATTTAGGATAAATTAACGCAATACGGTCTTTGGATAATCAAAGATTGTTCGCCGAATTTCACATAAATATGACTAACATAGTAAAATTCAGAGATTATTTCAAAGTTATTATTATTATTTATTTATTGTTTTCGTCACAATTTTTAAAATTCGACTCCATGTAATTGAGCAGCTAGAAATGTATCTTCCGCAAATATTTCAATTCTTGTATCTTTGAGAATATAAGACAATATTGAGAATAATTGACCAAATCGACTAGGGATGAAGTGTTGATCTTGAACATAAGTCCGATGAAATATATACTAATTAATTAGGATTTGTTATCATTCGAGCTATGAGTAAATTAAGAAAACGGTAGTGCAATCATATGGCAAAATGGGTGAACTCCCTTTTCGGGTGGTGGCAAGTATGATAGTGTTGGCACCGGCTGCATAAAAATTGTTGCATTTTTTTTTTTTTTTTTGTATAAACACCCAGGTGTTTCGTGTTAAAAAAAAGGAAAAAGCGAATTTTTTTTAACATGATGTGAAGCTGAATGAATACAATTTCGGTCAAAGTTTTTCATAGAATAATGTGTATATAAAGTAAATAGAGTTGCAAAATGTTCTGGAGACAATCTTTAATTTGGGAAATTAATTTTCCCTCGCCATCGCTATAACACGATCGGAATGATGTTTGCTATTACCGCCGTTTTTTAATCTTTTCGAAGAAGATTTTCTTTAAATTGGCCTAACGTTCATACGTGTATATGTCATTGTTTAAAGATGTCCGTCCGCCAAATAGGATAAGATTAAAAGCAGTAGATTTAAAATAAACTTGTAGTCTGTGGCTTGTATATGGAATTTTGCAACTCTTTTTACCAAAGACCAAAAAATAAAAACAAAATTCAAGTTAACTTAAATCAATTCAAGTCTCGTAAATGACTTTTAGTGGACAAAGTGATAAATTTTAGCGACTTGTCGATTGTCACTTTTCATCCACTATATAAATTGTACAACGTTTGTCTAAGATTACAATGGATTTTGTTTTACTGATCCAATCAGCGACTGAGCTATGAATGTTGTGTTAGTAAATTTTTGTTATGCAATTTAATTGTAGGCGACAGCCCTGTAAATTATAAGGTCGAAATAGAAATTAAGGAATCCGCTGTAATGGTGCGCGATGATTCCGTATCAGTTAAAATATCACTGACATCTCCCTTGCTGCGTGAAGCTCCCGAAAATGTGAAAGCTGCAGACGATATAACTGCAATAAATAAAGCTGCTGGAGATGCCGCACTTTTGCCGCGTCAACCATGCCTCAGGGTAAATCGATTTTTGACACATTATCAATTTTTTATGTTTAATTTGACATTTTTTTTTTTTTAGGCTTTGGCTGAGTTACGTCATGCTAAGTGGTTCCAGGCCCGAGCGACTGGTTTGCAATCGTGCGTAATGGTTATACGAATATTACGTGATCTTTGCCAACGTATTCAATCGTGGCAGGCTCTGCCACAATGGTCTATGGAATTGTTGGTTGAGAAGGTAATTTCTTCGGCCGGTTTTCCTATTTCTCCTGGCGATTGCTTGCGTCGCATAATGGAGGCGTTAGCTTCAGGATTCCTAATCAATGGCCCCGGCATATTGGATCCGTGCGAAAAGGAGCCCACAGATGCATTGCATGATCTTACCAAGCAGCAGCGTGAAGATTTGACCGTTTCGGCACAAATGTTTTTGCGTTACATTGCCTTTCGGCAAATTTATAAAGTTCTTGGCATGGAACAATTGCCGCCATTAAAATTTCCATTGCGGCCATGGCGTGGAAACCGCAAAAGGCGCCGCTCGTCCGGCAAGGGCGGTCAAGCTGGCGACACCGATAATGCCGACAATATTGACGAAAGTGCTTCCGATGAGAAAATAGCAAAAAAAGATGGCATCGAGGCAGCAGCTTAATCAGTATCAAGATTGGAATAATTACAATTTTCTATATATTTAATTTTTGAATTACAAGAAGAATTAGCGAGTTAACTGAAATTGTTCAGCATACTATATGTCACTATTATGATAATGTTCGTCCTGAGCATGAAACATCATTTAAACGAAAAAAAAAACATATGTGTTTTTTCCATCTAATATATTAATTTAAAAACAAAAAAAAAAAAAAAGCAAAAAATATAACCATGCAAGAACATCACACATACATAAACATACATATACGTGAGTTTTCACTAGAAAATTAATCTGTGTGAACATATTCTATATAATAAGTGAAATGCATCGGGATGCTAATGCAATTTGAATTTAGAATGCATTATATAACTTGCTGTATACACGTTCACTCAAACACACTGTTGCAACAATTCTTTCATTTTTTCTCCGCGTTCATAAGTTTGCTGTTCAATCAATCAACTTAATATTTATTATAATTCTCAAATAAAATAAAGTAAATACAGTATCTAGCCGAACTAAATATGTTTAAAATAAGTCACATGTTTTTATATTTTTATTTATGATGCTGTGGTTCATTTTTGCAAATTGTAGCACTGGAACAGCATGATGGGCGTCGATTGCGTTACGCACTCCAAACAGCAGTGACATTAATATTCAATGTGGAATTAGGGACAACATCTTGTAACAGTCCCTGTTGAAAGTTAATCCAGTATTTTTCGCGTTTTAACGAAGAAAAGGATTATATGTTAGTGACTGTATTTTGCTTTTTTTTGTTTCGAAGAATATGTGGAAGATTTGCAATTCGCAAATAAATTTTTGAAAAAATTGCAATTAGCGACTAACAAATAAACGCACAAGTAATTATTTCGTGGGCGGAATATTACGCCTACAACACTAAAGTTAGGTTTTGATGAGAGGTTTCCAGAGAGTGAGAGAGAAAGAGAAAGAAAGAGTACAAACAAGTTCGATGGTAGGCTTTTGGGTTCTTCAAATTACAACTTTTTTTCCAACCAGCAATTTGTTGTAGACGTAGTATTTTTTGAATTTGATAAATATTTTACTTTAAACAATTAATAAAGATCTTTCGACTCTCTTTGAAGGCAAAAGTGAAATTATATGAAATACTTAAGCTAAATACTTTTCACTTTCTTCGAAAAAAGAAAATATATGCTATACAGTAGTTCTGCTATATCGTCCACTTATCTATTGCATTTGTAACAGCCAGGAAATACTCCTTAGCATACACATAGAATATGTATAAAGCTTTCATGATTTTGATTAAATTTGATATTATAACCGAAAGTTGTCTAAAGTTGAAAAACTCACATACACGACGTATACAATTTCGTTTTCAAGTGAATATACGCTATGGTTAAAAAAAAAACCAAATGTTCACTTCACATTGAAGAAGTCAGGATTTTATGTTCGCCAAATGCTTCGACAAATTTCAATGAAAGTACGCTATGAAGAAATATGAAGAAACTTTTTATTATTAAGTTTTATTAAAATTACTATGTATTAAAGAGTTATATTATAGGAATTATGTATCTTCATCTACTTCTTATTTGTATATTTACTATACATATTTGACATTTGACATATTTTTGCAGTTTTTCACATTACCTATGAGTTATTTTATTGCAGAATATATTCTAGAATATTCGGGAATTTCTGTATATTTCCTCATAACAATAACACAAACAATTTGTAATTGTAATTCATTATCAAAGAAACGATGAAAGAAAAAGAAATCGTATTTTGTAACAAAGTTTTTTTCATACACAAACATTTATGTGTACACCATAGCGCATGTTCATTTAAAAACAAAAAAATTGCATATGCTTCGCCTTTGAAAACGTTTGGGAAAATGTGACATCATATCAAAAGACTATTAATAGAATTTTTGCCGATGAAAGGGTAAGCACCAGGCATGGCTCTCTGACAAACGTGCCTAAACATGTTTGAAACTTGATCGTTATTAGTCACTCTAAAAATTTGTAGCTCCGTGTGCTGCGAATGTTTTTGTTTAGTTATTTCCCCATGTATTTGATAGAAATATTTATAATTGGGAAAAATTGGAGTTGTGAGTTCTACTAAGCTAAAGATTTCTTAGAAATTTTATTATCATTTCACTGCCTTATGCTTGTTTGTTAACGCTTACAGAATATGGTTTTGAAGCGAGATAGTGTTGCACTTTTTACAGTCAATCAGAATAGAAGCACATAACCGTACTCAACTATCTAAAATCAATTGCGAAAAAGGTTGGCTAGTGAGGGCGACCTCCCTTTATCATCCAATATTAAAAATTGCTTGGGAATAAGCACGACTACGAGCCACGCCACGCATTCCATTTCATGTTTCTTCATGTTTAAATCAATGTCGTAAGAGAAATTTTATAAATATATAATAAACTGGAAAAAATCTACATATAGCGGATAACTAAAAAGTATAAAAGCGATTGCTGTCATAAAGATTTTACTTTTATAAGTATGGAAAAAAAAAAAAACTTTTTGCTTTACATCGGGCTCATACGTGCATTTGCAAAGAAGCTAAAATTTTCTTTCTCATAACAAATAGATTCGTCACAATCCAAATAACCGAAACTTGCATTTATTGACTTTTTCTTAATCAACCGTATAATTTTTTTACAACGCATGTAATTGCAATTTTATAAGTGTGGTAGAGTGCATAGGAAAGAAAAAACAAAAAAAAAAAAAAAACAATAGAAAACAGAAAATTAACTTGATGATGCTTTGGCGGCTTCAAACATATTTCTCGATATTATAAGGCGTTGAATTTGTGATGTTCCCTCATAGATTTGGTAGATTTTCGCGTCACGCATTAATTTTTCTACTGGATAGTCGCTGTTGAAACCGTTGCCACCAAAGATTTGCACAGCATCGGATGCGACTTTGTTGGCCATATCGGCCGCATGGCATTTGGCAATTGAGGCGTAATAACTGTTGCGACGGCCCTGATCAATTTCCCAAGCAGCTAATCGATAAGCTAAGCGCGATGTTTCCACACCAACTGCCATGTCGGCCAGCATGAATTGTACAGCTTGATGGTAAGCTATTGGAACGCCAAAAGTCTTCCGATCCAATGAATATTTTAACGCCTCGTCCATGCAACGCTGCGCTAGGCCAACGGCTCCAGCAGCTACTGGTGGACGAGTTTTATCGAACGTGCCCATCGCAATTTTAAATCCAGCACCTTCGCCAATTAGGACATTTTCCTTAGGTACTCTCACATCTTCGAACGTAATGCCACGAGTATCGGAAGCTCTTTGACCCATATTGATTTCCTTTCGACCCGGAGTCAGACCAGGGGTCTCGCGTTCCACAATGAAACCTGTGAAGGCCTTACTAGCCGGAGCCTTCGGATCGGGGTTTGTGCGAGCCAAAACAAAATACCAATTCGCGACACCGCCATTCGTAATCCACATTTTCTGTCCGTTGATAATATATTCGTCGCCTTTCTTTTCGGCGCGTGTTCTAATGCCTGCGACATCGGACCCAGCAATTGGTTCGGTTACACAATACGCGGCTACTAAAGGCTCCTCCAGGAGGCGACCCAAGTACTTCTTTTTCTGCTCTTTATTAGCCGATAGTATAATTGGTGTTTGCTATGTATATATATAGAAATCATAGTCTTTTAAAATGTTACAAATCGATTTTGTTTAACTTACCCCTAAAGAGCTTGCTTCCAAAGCGGTCATAATGCCGGTACAAGCGTATGCTAGTTCTTCGGCAATTAGACAACTAGTGTAAACATCTAAACCTAAGCCACCGAATTCTTGCGGAATGTGATTATTCATGAGACCCAAAGCCCAAGCTTTCTTCACAATGTCCCATGGATATTCGCCTGTTTTATCGTGATGTGCAGCCACGGGCAGAACTTCTTCTCTGGAAAATTTCCGTGCCATCTCTTGCATTTGCTTCTGTTCCTCCGTTAAACCAAACGAAGGTCCGCCAGGCGTAACATGCGATGTGGATACATATCTGCAATTGCTGCTGGTCAGTTGATGCACTGAGCGTACAGCGAGCTAAAATGAATGAAAAAACAATTTTTTTTTTACAATTGATTCTTTCTTTGCTTTACGTTTGGCTTCATCCAAATGCCATCTGCAATTAATAGAAACTTTTTTTCCTATAAAGGAAAATCTGTAAACCAAGTCTCTTTAACAGTTTTTTTTTTTGTTTTTAATTATAAAAACAAAATATGATATTGGAACATTATTACGTTATTCAGCGTTAAAAGGGTTTCATGTCGCGGTTTGTATTTCTATCGGATATATGCTTTGCAGGTGTTAATGCGCTACTAGAACATAATTAAGTATGGTTCATTACAACAAAGGAAACGACAGGGCCTACGTCATTGCTCGCATATATTGTTGAAAAAATTAATTTGTCGGTCAAATCGATTTTGAACTGAAAACTATAGAAATAACGGGTAAGGGAAATGCTTTGTCGCCTTATGAGTTTAGTAACGTATGACTTTGGTAATGCTAATCCTATCAAATCGTGGATAAGCCAAATGAAAAAAACATTATGAATTCATTCAAATATAAAGCTTTTTGAAAATGAGCTGAGATCCTGCAAAAATTCGTCTATTTCGACTAAAGCAATAACGCTTTGTTTGTGAAGTTTTGTGAAAAGATGCGTCGTGTTTATGGTGAAAAACTTAATGGATCGAATTGACATTTGCGAGTTGATTTTGATTGATTGCGGGAGATGCAAGGCTGTTCACAATAAATAGAGCGGATGTGGCCAAAGCCCAGATTGACGCCACGTAACGGAATGCCTCGTATGCCGGGTATTCCAGTGGGATTAGAAGGGAGCTGTGTATCATCATCATCTGGCCGGACGATGCCTCTCACTTTCCATTGTCAACAATTTAACCGATTAAAGCACGCAATTAAGCTGAAGCGCCAATTGCAGAACAGCATATGTCTTTAACGATTCATTAAAAAATAAAGAAAACTAAGCTGGGAAATTCTGCCCTAACCATCTCACGTCCTACTACGTTGTTTTATTGCCTTTCGAATTCTCCTAGTGGTGTAAGGTTGACTTCAAAAAGTATCTGCAAAGAGCCCTTTGCTTCTATTGACGCCAGGATGGCTTTATCAGGAAATTGGCGAAGGTTTCTCGATTCAAATTGCGTTTATATCTTTTAATAAACTGAAGTGAAAAAGTGGTACATACGTAATTACCCAGTGGGCATACAATGCGTCTATTACGTCTTGTAGGATCTTTTTACTAAACCCTACAAATTTGTTTATATTTTTAAATAAACACACAAATATTTGCTTGTGTATTTATATTGTTCTATATATTGTTCTGTACATATTTATATTTATATTGTTCTGCATACTGTTCTACATTATTCTATATGCATGTCTGTTGATTCATATGTCTTTCATGGTTGGCGATAAAATCTTAAACGTGAATATTTCTTTAATTAAGATAACTTTCATCTCACAATAAAATAAAACACTTTGTTTTCGCCTTCTATATTTAATCAATAGGTCGATAGTATCTTGAAGCGAAATCTATAGACAACCGGTCATAGATCAATTCAAATATGATAACGATTTGTCCGATCGTTCATTTTTTATGCAATCGATGATTTGTTATACAAAAACGTAACCATATCAAATTGATTGCATTCTTGACGGCTTAGCTTGCTTGTTTAGCTAAGCGCACACACATCCATGTACATGTAGTGTGTGAATGCAAATTTTTCTCGTAAAATTTATCTTCGTTTTTATAGGTGTTTCTTATTTTTCCTACATTTTGCTTCTTAAAAAAAAAAATAGCCAATCAAGAGGATAATATACATACATATGTCGCGTATGTGGAAAGTTTATAATGGTTTTGAAATACATATCTTTTGAAATAAGAATATCAAGTAAAACCCTATAATGGGCCTGGGCGTATCATTAAAAATTTTACCCCACTATGCAGACAATCATATAACGACATTTTAAAATAAGGCGTTGTTCGGGAAATAGAAAAAAAAATAGTCCGAATTGAAGTATTTTCGAAGTTCGCGTTAACCCTTGGGACCAAAACATGTCTGTGTACAAAATTTCTTCAAAATATCTCGAAAAGTTGCGGCCTACAGGTTGACCATTAGAAAACAAAAAAATAGTCAGCCGGACAGACAAACTTGCATGCGCATGAATGGCGTATAGGTCTAAAGATTGAACATTAGAAAAGCAAAAAACGGACAAACAGGTAGACAGTTTTGCATGCGCATAAACTTAATATATCAGAAGTGGTGTAGGCTATCAACAAAATCCATAGTTAAATATTGTATATATATCCTGTTATATTAACATTATTAAAATTGCTCTACGACCAATAGGAATAGGGAATCATATAACATCTGCATAGCATATGATTTGTTAGATATTTATCAGGGCAAGTGTAAAATATGTGAATCTTTACAAAAAAAAAAATAAATAAATAAAACAAAAAAAAATATATATTTACATTTATATATATATATAACAAATTTTACAAGGCAGCATGTCGATTGGAAGGATTAAGGTCAAATATAATTTCCTTTCTTTTTGAAATAGCCCATGAAATATAAAAGTTGTCGCATTTATGATTAAATTTGATTTGCGAGCACGGAAGAGTACCTTGAACTGAAGTCCCCTTATAATGCAAGTATAAAACCGCATGAATATATGCAAAGGATGGATTAAACTTAAGAAATTGTTAATCAATGATTCCGTCTGTTATGAAGTATGTTGAAATTGTATTAACACAATGCTCGAATGGTGTAAAGTTAATAAATTTATAGGAAACAAAAACCATTCCAAGCTTTCGGACTAATTTAACTGACATCTTGTTTTTTTTTTTTTTTTTAATCTATTAAATCGATAAGTAACTCAAATCCAGTTTTCGTAATCATATGCTTGACTCGTTCATGGGTAGTAAAAGTAGAAAGTGCTCAATAAGATGGATAATAGAGCGTTGTTTACTTGATTCACTTAATTATTTCATATTTCAGGTCATATGAGATGATAAATGAGGTAATCGATCTTGATCGCGCTTTCTCTCAATTTCGCTTTCCACGAGTTCATGGCTTTTTCCAAAAAAAATTGAGTTAAGATTTGCAATAAAATCTGCAATTTAAGAAGTGATCAGAAATGACATAGGAAGGAAAAATAATGATTAAAGATAAATAATATTTATACGGAAACTTTTTACTTTCAATGATTTTCAATTGCTTTGTTTAAACCGATAATGAACGATATTAACGAGGGTTTGCTTACTTTCTGTCACTTCCAGGGAGAGTGTTAAAATACTTTGCGCGGAAATTGAGTTGAGATATTTATGATTTTTACGGATTGCTTAATAACGAAGAAGAAATAATGTAATGATATCTTTTATGCTTTTATTTTTGCTTTTTATTTTGACTGCACTTAATTTTCTGAATAATTTCCTATTTATACCTGTGTAATATTTATAGGTGCAGATAGATGTGTATGCAAAGTGTTTTGTCTTTTTTTTTTTTTCTTTTTTTTTATTTCTTTCACGCTTTTATTTAATGCTTTAATTATATGCCTGGACTTTCTTATTACATTTGATGCGTGCCAAGCTTACGCTAAATTATACGTATTATGCCCGCGCATACGCGTGCATATATGAATGTTGATGTATTCTCATTTATTCACGTAATTATTAACTGCAGCACTTACTCTGTTAAAAAATGCCATAATTTCTTTTTAAAAAAAAAAAAATTAAATACAACAACGATGATAACAACTTGAGGTATGTAGATGCGTATAAATAAATATGTCTAGAAAATATTTAATATTTAGTGTGTCTCGCTGAACATTTGCTAAACGAATAAAATCTTCTTTTCTAATCAGCAGCGAACGTTGGACTTTTGTGTAATTTGTTTGTCTTTGCACTTGTTGAGCATGATTTAACAGCCGTAACGTGACGGATATTGTAATTAGTAAAGCGCCATTTAGTAAACTCGTACTAGTAGTAATGTGAAAAATGAAATAATTTCTTCTTTTTTTTTTAACGTTTTGCAAAGTATGGATTTAAAAATTGCCGGATAACTAAAATCATGCGCTTCGCCTGTATTGAAAAGGTTCTACCGCATTTGAGATATGAACCTGCGACCTTTCTCTACTTGGCCATTCAGGCGGAGATTATTAATTTCTTTAACTGAAAGGTTTTATTTCTTTGAAACTTTTTCATATCACAATTAGCTTTTAATTTCATAATCTCATTAGTTACATCGAGAAACATGACATAAATCTGTAAATGGTCATTCAGAATTACTCGTACTTGGCCAACATACAATATTGTGAGTCGATGTAGTTGGGACAGTCTTCGTTGCTGTTCGAGTTTGTAAAACCAAGATATGACTCAAATTCATATCAGTTCATATATATAAGATGGCTTTTTTTTATCAGTTTCATATCAGCGCATAAGGCCATAGCAATGTAAACATTGTATAGAGTAAAAATCTTAATTGGACGCGTATGCAAAATAAATATTATATTTTCTATTATTTAGTTTAGATAAGAGAGCTTTCAAGACTGTTGGCTTATGTTGTCAAATTTTAATCACATTCCATTATGAAATCAGATTTTTTCTATGTCATGTTTTACAGCATTGCATTCCGCTACGAATGAAAGAAGAAACGTTCAAGTATATCCTCCTATATACCACATTATCGTAATATAATAGTGTTGCCAATAACAATGACATTTAGGACTCGCTTTATAATTTTGGCTGCATTGGATTTTACACTTGCAATTTTTGTTTAAAGTTTGTAATATCGTACGCATGGAAATAACATACCAATGGTGTATACATTTTTGAGACCCCATACGATTTTGATTTAAAGAGGAGCGAAGTATCGAAGTATGTTTGAATAAAAGTTCCTGTATATAATATAATTGCAAAACAAATCATTTTCGAAATTTTCTGAAAGGTTTTCAAATAGATTTTTTGATCGGATGCACCAATGTAAGATGTACGTTACTAAAGAAAAAGTGTAAATGGGGTGTGTCAATAGTTCAATTGACCAATGATATCTATGCTATGATATGCGTTTTATTTGAGTTTAGGGTTATCGGCCAAGAACATGCGTCAGGTCAGGCTAAATAAGTGACAGATCCCTTCAATTAAATCAACGTACGATGTAATACCGATCTGGTATGCAAAAGGTTAATGGGCTAATGTTATCGTTGCGCGCATTACAAATAACGATCTCCTTCGAAATATAGAAGATGTTGTGCGAAAAATGAAACAAGTTTTGAAAAACATTATCAACACCGTTCGCTTAGTACAGTAATTCAGAGCAAGTCCAGAACTATTTTCAATAGCATGGTTCAAAACACAAGATGATAAGACGGATAGACAAACAGATGGACAGATAAGCTTAGATCGATTCAGATCGATTGCCACAATCGATGAGGCTATCTCAAGTCGTTCAAGTGCGTCTTTGATATAATAACGCTATAGATAATGAAGGAGAAATTATTACAAAGAGAATTTCAAGTTCAATTTTGACCTTCTTGGTATTCGTGCATCGTCAAAGCCATGGACCGACATAAGTAATTTTTTTTCATAATGTAATGTAAATGAAAAGTGCAATTTAGGACTGAGATTTCTGTATTTTAGATGAAGTTGTAAAGGAGTAAATCTAGTTTAAAGGCACAAATAATGAGGAAACTATTGTATCGATTCTTCAATTTACGCTGTTCAGAGATATGTGTTTTATTGTGTTTCACGAAGTTAAGGGTTAATACCATCTTGTGTGCACTAAACTCAACGATATTCTTAAGACGCTTATTTATATATATATATATATATATATAAAAAGGGAAGCAAACGGAAAAAACGCCAACTTTTGTTTGTTTGAGCGTTTTTTTATACAAAAGTACACGTGGTAGGGTTTAGATTCCCCTCCTTAACTATAGTGCTACTGGTCACTATTCCACGTTCTTGTTGGTAAACTAAAAATTGCTGACTTAAACCGTAATGACCGTCGAATCATTTCGTCTACCGCCATAAAGATATTTTTGCTTTGAAAGGATAAATAAGATTAGACAAGAGACGATAGCCGGACAGTTGCTACTCACTTTATATAAACCATAACAATTCTCAAGCATATTAAGTTATTTGTGGTACAGGGCAGATTAAATATGTGGGGACGAATGTAACACGCAGAAGGGCTTAAGATGGTCTATCTCACCTTTTATTATGCCGATCGGTTGAGAAAATTATCTAAATCTCTCCGTTCATTCAGCATTCGTCTGATAACTGATGAAATGTGGTACGCCGGCATGTGAACGCTATTGAAAATGATTTGGATCGCCCCACTTTTTCGACTAGTCCCCATATAGAGCCATATTTTGAAAAGTCGTTATATAAAAAATAATTGCGTATTTAGACATTTTAAATTGATATGAAAAATTTGATTCGGTTGGGACAATTTTTTGAATCCTCTCCAATATCACCGTTCCTACGAAAAATCACCCGAATCGAATAGGGATTCTCGAAAAGTACTCCTTTTTATTAAAACAATGTGTAACTTTTGGTGTTTTCTTATCAAAACGCGCGAATAACTCAATTAGGCGAAGTGATATAGGGTATCAATCAGCCAGCCTTGCCTGACTATAATGTTCTTGTTTAAATTTCTAATTAAGATTTTTAATTAAAAATTTTGTTATTGTGCTGTACACTGAAATCAAATAAGGTATCTATATATATACATATATTTATATATATATATATACATATATATTTTTGGTCACCGTGTGAGTTCTTATTAACTTAGTTATCTTTTAATTTATCCGCATGTTTTTGCCAAACTCGAGTTAAACGCTAAAAATTTGAGTTTGAAACATGATAGAAATGTTTGTAGATGATATCCACATGTCATGTTTAAGATTAGACTAAAAAACTTCCAAGATAGATCAAATATCGTAATATTGTAACCTATTCTGGATAATGATCTACGTCGTCATCAATTTCAGTCCACATTTAAAGATGATTCGTATCTTATCAATCAGTTGAGCTCAAGATTAAATCGACATTCCCTTGAGGTTTGCTCGAGAAATATTTCCATTTAACGAATTCTTATAAGCAATGGCAAGCTTTTGCTCCTTGTTTTGTGTAAAAATTTCATTTTGCTTTAGCTTTACATTTCCGGGAAGATTGTCTTTGTTTGTTTGTTTGCTAGGAGGGAGATTTCAGGCATATAAAAATTTACTAAAAATTATAATAGAAAATTGTATATATATATATACCTGAAAGAAGTGTGCACTGCACCTCAAAGACTCCATATATTTTTAAGAGTTCATCGCAGCATGTTGTTAATGCATGGACTATGCTTTGAAAATTAAAAACAAAACTTTTGGTCACTTATGCTAGTACTAAACATAAATTTAGATGCATATATGTATGTATGTATATATGTATGTATATATGTATATATGTATGTGTATATGTATGTATGTATATTTTATTTTTTTTCAATAACTGTTTTCTGAGATATTGCCACATGCGTGCGTGCATGTAAATAGTTTAACTAAGGGGAGGCATAAGCAAACGAATCAACTCAAACTCTTATATTAAATGGAGGCAATAGCGGTCGCTTGCCCGCCCCTCCTAGCCGTTGCAGTGAAAAACGAGGCGAACATCAAAATATCCAGCTTTCTGGCACCAATAAGTAAGTATTCAACACAGCAACTAGGGAAACTGTTAACAGTTATTTGGCATTGCTCCTGATAAAAGGTTGTCCTGATTTTACCAGCGCAACGTTAACGGGGGAATGTTTTCGTTATGTGAAGTTTTCCACTATTTGTTAGTATACCTAAAAAAGAAAAAAAAAACACAATTTTTTTGTGTAAAAGTGAAAGAAAAAAGAGAAATTCATTTGTTTTAAATTTGTCTTAATAATTTAATATTTATATATATATATATATATATATATATATATATCGAAAAAAGAAGCTAAAAGAGTAAAGCTTTATTCAAACTTGCAACATTGAAGCGTATAAAAAATCTTGAAATGTAGACAAAAATCAACAATCAAGTGTAAGAGGAGAAAAGAAAAAAAGAAAGCAAATAAAAATGGCTCAATTTGTTACACATATACAACCAACCTTGCTGGAAGCCTCCCAAGGCCATGTTCCACATCATCATGGCCATCAAGTCGGTCTCCAGTATTCGTCCCATTTACCACATAGTGGCCATAATATGCCTTCACCGCCAACCGCTCACAATCATCATCCGCAGCAATTATCGCATCATAGTCCACCGTCACAAATTGCCTCACCACCGGCAGTTAGCTCTGGACATCATCATCAACATCAACATCAACATCAACATCAACATCAGCATCAACATCAACATCATCATCATCATCATGGACACCATAGTAAACATTCTAGCGGAACAGGAGGAAAACATGAGCATTGTCCTACGGGACATCAGAGTTCGGTAATTGAAACACACATTAATGAATCATTTCTTTAACGGTGATGCAATTGCATTTCTGCAAAAGCAAAACTTTTATAGGCTTTTAGTAAGCTAAAGCCATAAAAAAAAAAAAAAAATAAAAAAAACAAATAACGCACCAACACTTATATAACTACATAACAACATAACAATATTTTTAATGTGTATCTATCTCTAAAACTGTTTTATTTTTCTTACTCATCGTGTATACTCATGAATATGACGTAATCCGAATTAATCATATGAAGGATATTTCTCTTTTAAACTCGATAAAGTATTCGTATATGTGTACAGTTATGTAGGAATGTGTGTGTGTGCATGTGCATGTGCATGTAATTTAGAAGAAATTTCCTTAAACTATGCTATAAATATTTCTCTTTCGATGTGCCTCACCGTCCCCGAAAATTTTTTATTGCAAATTTTCATCATATACTAAACTCATAGAAGTAACTAAGATTCGTTCAATAAATAAATATTTCCCTTTCTTTTTCGGCAAAATGCATACAACCTGTGGCGAATTCTATTTTAATAGAAAAAAGAAACTAACTTATATTTGTTTAATATTTAATGCTTGCTTACACGGCTACAAGATTTAAAGGACTTGACATTTTGATTTTTCCGTGGCCATCATACGCCTACGATGTGTTTTGAAAAAAAAAAAAAAAAGAAAAGATCCCTACATTCTAAACCATAGTGTTATGACCGCAAATGAAAAAGAGGTTGATGATAAGAATACTTACCTAAATATATAAATTCTAGATTGAATTATCTTATTATAAATATTGAGCCTCTTCGATTAATTAATGATTTCATTTAATAGTCAAGTTTTGAATACAAATTGACCTTTACACTTCGACAGGCTGTTTATAGCTGCTTCATGCATACAGATAGAATGTAGGACGACATCGACCTGAAGTGGCTTGTAAAGAATGAAGCATTTACAAGCATGGGTTCCGTACTTATCTTTTTCCATCAATGCAAGCGAGCCTTAATGTGCCGTTTTCCACTAACTAAAGATCGAACGAATGTAAGTCGGAAGAAATGATAAAAATCGCCACAAAAAACAATATGAAAGTATGTACAATAAAAAATTCATGCGTATAAGCTGACAGACGCGGTTCTCTTTTCGATGAAGGCCTTTTCTTTCTAAATTTTCATCTTCAATGTAAAGACTTACGATTAAGAACTCGATTCGAAACAGATTTTTCATTTAAAGTTTTCATAAAGCCTTGAATATTTATTTGCCTGTACCTACGTAGAATGCTTGAAACGGACTCTTAGATAATGAAAGATTTATTTAAAAAGAAAATTTTAAGAAAATTTCAATAACTTAAGCAATAGTTCAATAACTCTTAACAAAAACTTAAGTAAATAAAAAATAGTACTTTATCTCTTTAGCATTCTCCCAATGCTTATATTTGATGCGAGCGTTTTCGTATTTTCTTCGTTTTTTTTTTTTTTTTTTCTTAACTTTTAAGAAAATATACTTTACAAGTACATAAACCTATGAACACATGCATGCAAAAAATTCGAATGCACAATGAATGTTGAGTAATTTCCACATATCGCGCGTCTGTTTATTTAAAAATAGCTTCTGAATTGCTTATCTCAAATATATTCTCTCTTAACGTTGTTTCTATGTATATGTATATATATATTTATATATATATTAGAGGAAAATTATTCCGCTCATTTTCATTTAGCAATTCGAATGGGCCTCAAATTCTTTTACATATCGAATGAAAGCCGACGTGTAGGGTATTGTATATTGTTTATATATCATTTTTGTTGTTAACATCTGTCGTAATAAGAATAAAATCATAATTTTAAGTAAAGCAATTTTATAAAAGTTCATATAAAGACATAAATTTTCGAGTGCTTAACTATCTATCGGATACGAAATGTTGAATCCGTTAAAGAAACGTTTCCCATCATTGCAAAGTTTGGGTGTAAGTATTAAATTCGAAAATTCGAAAATTTCAAATCAAAGAATTTTTAATATTTTTTTTTTTTTTTTTTTTTTTTTTTGCATATTACTATGACTCTTACAGCATAGAAAAATGGCCATTGAGGTCATCGGTTTTGCATAAAATTTTTGTAATTTAACTTAAGGAAGAAGTAAAACATATGAACAAATGTGCTTACATACATGTCTACATATGGATTCATAAAAATATTTCATTTATGTAATTATTTTATGCAGACATACATGCAAAGGCATCAACCTTTTGTTAGTCAGACGATGTAACAAGTCCCGATTTTGCGATTCAATGCATCTATACGCCTATAGGCAAAAAATTTAAAAGGCTTAATCGCTTACTGGGGGTTCTAGGGTAAGTGAGGATCCTTATGAAAAGATGGTTGAATTTTATTTTCTATTGTTTCGTTGTTTTTTTTTTAGTTTTACGCGACCGTCATAGATGGTAAAATTGTTTCGTTTGAAAAATTAAACGATTTTAGCAAGCAACCTCGCATATTTCACTGATATATTTTTGCGAAATATTGAAGATATTCTAATGTCAATAAAATTTCAAGCAACTAAATTGTTAGCTACCGCTTAATACCTTGAGCTTGAGATCGAATTGAATTGTCGTCTTACGAGCAGCTTCCCTGGTAGATTGATTGTGAAACTTTAGATCAGTCATCACTTGGGTTAAATCCATCCATCAGTCATTTTCTGAAGTAATGTAAATCATGTCGCTCCGTCTATCCGTCTTACATATATATTCAGAAGTATTCTTCTGATCATCCTAAAGGCCGGAAATGAAATTTTCGTATTTCATCTGATGAATTCGGAATCATTTTCTGAAGCAACGTAATCATGGCTATCCGTCTGTCCGCCTTACAATAGTATTGGTCTGTTCATCCTAAAGTACCGGAAATGAAATTTTCGTTCAATCAATGCTCAGTTTTATTGCAAATAGATTGGGTAGCGTCACCTTTACGATCAGCTGCTTACTATTTATCCAAAATTTTTAACATAGAATTGTACTAATTCTACTTAAGCTGCTAATTATCAATATCGACCTAATATTTAATTAATGTTAAAAAACGATAGAAATCGTTTGCAAAAGCCTGAATGAAAAGCATTCATATGGGTTAGGTATTTGCTGAGCTATTAGCTATTAGCTTGATTATTGAACGTATAGATGATCCCTTCAATTTATTGATCAGAATAGTTGAAACTGTGCAATAACTATAAGAAAAGTTCAACATTCTCTATTAACATTCGATAACGGGAAATGGTGACGCTCGTTAAGGGTATAACATGTATATGAATTGAAATGTGCACTTGCTAATATAGTCTGTAAAATCCAGATAAAAATGTACATGAAGTCTAAAGAATATTACAAATGCCTTTCGCATGCACTGAATGATTGCGAAAAAAATGTAATGATTGTCCGCAATTTTCACGAACATGGCAATTGCGTGACTAAATAATTTAAGGGATATTTTTAAAATAAATTGTTCGTTTCGGACGCATGGTTTCAATAAGATGGCGGATGTAGTGTTATTAACTTGTCGCACGCGAGACACATACACTTAGCAGCAAAAACTTATATGCTTTCTCGATTATTATGAAAGGCTGCCAAAACTGTCCTCGATGATCTTAGAAAAATTCAAAAGTGGTTTCAAAATTTTCTATAGATCCATTTGCGAATACGCATTTGTAGACTTCATTTTATCAGCGAGTCAGGCTTCGTTGTTATTGAAAGGCCTTTCGTGCGCTAGGGCTGCACAATAAATATCCTACACCAACTTAAAGGTATTCATTTAAGAACTTTGAGACGTTATATGGAAAGTGGTCCGGTTCGATCCGTTTTCAATGGCAGACGGACATAAAGCATTTGAATAAATAAAATTAGTTCTATCCCAAATCCTTCTGGGTGTTGCATAAATCCGCATAAACTTAATAAATCCGTCTATCATAAGTGATGTAAGGTATAAAAACTTAAATAGAACGAAACAAATGGAAAAAGTAATATTTGGCTTAGGGCTCTAGAATCTTCTATATAGCCGCTAAGCAAAGCAAAGTTAGGATTCTAAAGACGTCGAAACATCGAACATCGTATGAATGCCATATAAGCAAATTATATATTGGTTTATAATAAATGTTGTTTTTTCTTTTTCTTTCATAATGAGTATATTGGTTGTTTTATTCCGTTTGTAAATCTCAGTTGATTTTATATTATATTCGTTTGATTGCAATATTTGGGAGAGAAAGAGATGGGAATGAGGAAAACGTTTAAGATACAGGTAACAAATGTTTGGATGATGCAAGTAAAATAACGAAAGGCATATATTTCCTGCTAATAGGCATGAAAAGTTTGCAGTTGACACATATAGTCCATGTGCACGCAAATATTTGTATGTCCAATTAACCAGTAACCGGCAACTTTACAAATTATATCAAAACGAAGGGCACGTGCAAATTACAACTGACTCGTGCTACATATGTGTATGCATACGTATGCATGTACAATTGTATATGTGCGCGTGTGTGCCTGTGTGTGTTTATATTTTTAAATTTTATTTGTATGTGTGTATAAATAAATACATATATGTGCATAGAAGGTAGATTCTCTTCTGCCCTTAAATTGCGATAAGAAATGAAATCAACCCTCGTGTCGTCGCGTGAGAACTTTCTATTCAAAATACTGCTCAGCTGTGAATTGCGCAGGTTTTTTTTTTTGTAAAGTCCTGCCAATAAGGAAGAATGCCTAGCTTACAGGACTTGCTAAAGTTAAACTAATGTTCAGTCTAAGATTAAATTTTGAAGTGAACGGAAGCAAAAAAAAAAAAAAAAAAAAATATATGTATATATATATATTTATATATATATGTATGTATATATATATTAATATTGAAATAGAATAAAAACAAAAGAATAATAATAAGATATAAACAGAAATTGCAAGACCAGTGAAGGATACAAGTGTATTGCACACCCTTACAATCCAAATGAGGATATATGTATCAACATATATGCATATATATCTTTTTAAATATATATAAGAAAATTATGTAAAAAAAAAAAAAAGAAGAAAAGTGCTTTATCTAAAAATAATAGGATAGTAATTGTAAACAAATAAAACTATTCACTGTTTTTACAAAAACGATTTTTAATAATTCAAAAACAAAAAAACGAATTTTTTTTTGTTTGCAAAAAAAAAAAAAGAAAAAAAAAATGAAACGATTATGACTAAGCAGTGACGACATACGCTTACACAAATTCTCTACACTATAGACGACTAAAACAAAACTAATCGAGACAAGTTTTTAATAAAAAATTTTTACAATAATTTGTAATCACAATGGTTACCGAAAACGGCACTCAGGTAATTAAAATTAAAAAATTTTCTTTTTCTTAATATTTTCAACAATTTATATATATATATGTATATATATATATAAACGTTCGTGTAGATATATACATATATGTTGTTATTGTTGTTTTTTTTTTTTTTTTTTTTTTTAATTAGCCATTATGGCGTCATTTTTTTTTTTTTGTCTCTGCCTGATATATCGATTTTCCATGTCGGGTGGAAAAGTTTTGATTTTGATTCTCTACGTTAAGGAGTTTTCTTTCTGTTCTTTGCATTTAATCATTCAAGTTAGTTAAGATTTTCTTAACAAAACAGAAAAGATTGTTAAAGTGACTCGAAAGGTGATAGTTACCGAATTTATTTAAAAATTTATGACAAGACTTTGAAAAAGTTGCCAACGCTAACCTCAACAATTAAAAGGCCAAACTATCAGACCCACCCTTTTGAAAAATCGATGTTTTGCAATCTATTGTGTTTTATATATTTTTCATTGTTTGAAAAATTTCCATCACATTTAAAGATAGAGGCAAAAAATTACTACATTTTACATTTAATTATTTAACAAAAAATTGAATTAACTCGTGATAAAGTTTTCGTGTTTTTGTGTTTTTTTTCTTTTTATGCCAGAAATTCGATTATATAAGTAATATTGCTATAATGTTGGGTGTGGCTGAGCTATACTACTTTTTATAGAGTTTATCTTATCTTAAATGTATGCAATTAAAGTTTGAGTTTATTATGGAGTATTGCATAATTTTAGGCAATTTAGATGAATTAGATGAAATGTTCTCAAGCGATTTCATAACTTTTATGATTTTAACTAAGTTCACATACACCTCTGAAAATATATGTACATGTTTAAACACACATGCATATATATATATATATATATATATATATGTATATATATGTATATATCAATAAATCTATATGACTCATTCAGCTAAAATTTCAATTTGTTTTTCTTTTATTTATTTTTTTTTTTTTGAATGGGATAATATCTATACAAATTGAGATCATATAAATCAGGAAAGGCTTTCACACTATTTGCGAATATATATGAGCTCGAAATATCTATTTTTAAAAGCGTGAGTAGCACTTTGAAATGATCTATGAGCAGATGACGCCATTGTTTTTCGAAGTCAGTTAACTGAATTTGCCAAATTAAACCAACACTAAATGTGAATCAGTGATGATATTGCCACAACAAAAATTGAAATTGGAAATGTAAACAAGATTTCATAGAATAAACAAACGTCTGCGCTTTAAATCGCATCATATGTATTTTCAATGATTTTCAAAGAGATATTAACACGTCTTATGGAAATTGCCTCTGGGGCAATTTGTTATATGAAGATGTCAGGTTTCTTTTCTTTTTTTTTTGCATTTTAAAGAAGTAATTTAAAATTCAAAGTTTTCTGTCGCTGATGTTTTTGCATCTTGAAAAAGATATTTGCAAGGAAATAATTGCTGAGATATTCTAAACCAATCCCGAAAATAACTTCATATCGAGAGAGCATTGAATTTTACCATATTTGCGTGTAAATCATACATAATTACATTTACAAAGGAAGCTTCCATAGTTGAAAGTTTCAAGTTTCTCTTATCATTAAAATATACATGAAAAAAAAAACAAAAACAAAAAATATGTTATATATTGAGCAAGTCACATTTTCCTTTAAAAAAAAAAAAAAAAAAAAAAAAAAAAAAAAGCAACACATTAAATATTCGTCGTATACCGTATAAATTTGGAAAATGGTTTTTAGACAATTTTACAGCCACTCTGTAAGGAATTGTACAAGCTACAAATTATATATGGTTATATATGGTTCCGTTTTTTGATCCAAGGGTTTTGTCAGGGGCAAAATTTCGGTCAAATTTAATCGATTCTTCAATAAGATAGTATAAACTCAAGCCTCTAGTTAAGGTACCAAAATAAAAATTCAGATATTTTGAAGGCATTAGTTAAAAAAGAGAAGGGCAAAGTTATCAGTGTTATGGGAACTTGAATGGCCGATCTCTCCCATCGATTTCCTTGATTTCCCTGACTTTACATGAAAGTTGTAAGTAAAGATTTCCGGATAAATTTATTGGTGTAAGTATACCGAAAGTTCAAGGTTATTAACGTGATTTCAGCAAACGATTAGCCAACAGGCACATTGACATCACTAAACTGACTACGTTATATTATGTATTGCGTAATGCGTTACAAATATTGCAGAAATTTAAGGGAAATTTGTAAAATTCAAAACGCTTTTCCTTCATAAACAAATGCTACTGAGAAATATTTCATCTTTGGCTGCATTTTTTGTTTTTTCACTATGACCAGTCACTTAGAGGATGTCCTCTATTGGTATAACACGTTGACGGTCGGAAGGGAAAGGAGGAAGGAGATCGATATATGGGAAGATGGTGGCCGTCAGTGTTATGACTTTACCGACTGAACAGTCACTATAGCTACGACCAAAGAAAACTCTACCGCATTTGAGTTTTGTAACCGCGAACACTGACATGGATCAAAAACTTTTCAATCGCGAAAGTTCTACTTAATTTAGGTACTATAATAAACCGAGTTAATTTATCCCAGAATGTTAGGTTAATCAAAAGCGTGTATATGTAGTGATTAACGCTCTAACGCTTTTAACCATTACAAAGGCTCATGTTTTGTTTGAATGAAAAATATCAGTATAAGTCAAGATGTAATCGTAACTAATAGGAAGGAAAACGTTGTCCAATATCTATTTATCATTAAAAGTTCACGTCTACGCCAAACGATATGATTGCGAATATGTCATGTATTGAAGCTCTTCTTGAGCGCTTTTATCTTCGATGTAAAGTGCATTGTAATAGAAAGGTTTTCCTTGCCTTTACCCTAGAAGTGGCTACAAGTTGAGATAATTTTAAACTTATTTGTATAGAAAACGACACAATCCATAGCAGATGTATGTGGTACGGAAAACGATGAATGTAGAATATGCTGCTGTCAAGCATGCATATTACATTTTGTTAACTTTTAAAAAAGCGCGAGTATTACTACAATGCCTGCTGAATAATTTTTTCTTTAAATCGAGGCTTCAGTCTTTTAGCAGATCAAAAATGAATAAAATTACGGATAATCACGTAGTTAATCCAAATTAATAAATAAAATTGTGTTATTCGAGCTTAAAAAGAAAGATTGTATAGCTTTAGGAGTGAATTAACTGAAAAATGCATTGCCTACTTTTGATAAAAAATATAATAAAATAAATATATATTTCCTATCTTATGCTATTAATGGCCACGAAATTGAGCCGAAATCCATATTTTATGCGTATCGACTTTCTGAAGAAACGAATGAGTAGAACTAGTAGAAAAATCCGCGTGACGGACGACACACTCGAAAGATAAAATATTGAAAAAAGACTTGAACAGGAAATCGGCATAAAACGCAAACAAAAGAATCAATTGTACTGACATCTACACTACGGGAATTTTAATCTGTAGCTCGTACCACCAAATATATTCAATCAACGTCGAGAAAATGAATATCAAGCCTTAGTTGTACTATATGCAACACAGCTATGGGTCCTTAAGATATCTATCCATTTACCCAATACGCAATTGTTTACAAACTGTTACGATTAAGCAGATACTCTGTGATTGCGAAAGCCTTTTCAATATGCAAAAATCCACATTCTATGGACATCCTGAAAATACCTGGACAATTTAACATTAACAAAATATTTGACCAAGCTAATCCAACTGTATTTCTTAGAAAAAGAGTTGATGGTCCTAGCTGCCAATATCTATGCAATTTTTAGTCTGAAGTCTTAGAATTAGTAAATTAATAATAAAAATGTTTGTTTTGATGTGTGAATTATTTCAGGGTGATGGAAACACATCATTTTTACGAGCTGCCCGAGCTGGTAACCTCGACAGAGTTCTGGAGCATCTAAAAAATAATATTGATATAAATACTAGCAATGCAGTAAGTATTCGTTACTTGTTATTGTCATCGTCTTTAAGGAATTATAAATCACGATTGATTGATTGATTGATTGATTGATCGACCGATCGATATTTTCTTGTAGAATGGTTTGAATGCCTTGCATTTAGCTTCTAAAGATGGGCACGTCCATGTCGTATCTGAGCTGTTGCGACGAGGTGCAATAGTAGATAGTGCCACCAAAAAAGGCAACACAGCATTACATATTGCCTCACTGGCCGGGCAGGAAGAAGTAGTTAAATTATTGCTACAGCATAGTGCATCGGTGAATGTGCAGTCGCAGAATGGCTTCACACCGTTATATATGGCAGCTCAAGAGAATCATGATTCTGTTGTGAAGCTTCTATTAGCTAACGGAGCAAATCAAAGTTTGGCCACAGAGGATGGTTTTACGCCATTAGCTGTTGCCATGCAGCAGGGACACGACAAAGTGGTTGCTGTACTTTTGGAAAGCGATACTCGCGGCAAAGTGCGCTTACCCGCACTGCATATTGCTGCAAAGAAGGATGATGTTAAAGCAGCAACCTTACTGTTAGATGTAAGTAGATCATTAACATTTAATGCCGTTCGCATCAATCGAATTGTTGTATCGTTTTAAAAATGTAATCCGAATTTCCAGAATTATCATAGCAATTCATTGTACGCTATATCTATTGTAATAAATGTATCAATGTATCAATTGTGAACTTTTCAGAACGATCACAATCCCGATGTTACTTCAAAGTCGGGCTTCACACCATTGCATATTGCTTCGCATTATGGTAATCAATCCATAGCTAATCTGCTGATACAAAAGGGTGCCGATGTTAATTTTTCGGCCAAACATAATATCAGTCCCCTGCATGTAGCGGCAAAATGGGGCAAAACTAATATGGTCTCGTTGTTGTTGGAGAAAGGTGCAAACATCGAAGCTAAAACTCGAGATGGCCTCACGCCATTGCACTGTGCTGCACGTTCCGGTCATGAACAAGTTGTTGATATGCTTCTCGAACGCGGCGCGCCCATCAGCGCTAAAACCAAAAATGGTCTGGCCCCGTTACACATGGCTGCCCAAGGTGAACATGTCGATGCTGCTCGTATTTTACTTTATCATCGCGCCCCTGTCGATGAAGTTACCGTTGATTATTTGACCGCACTGCATGTCGCTGCTCACTGCGGTCACGTTCGTGTTGCTAAACTTCTATTGGATCGCAATGCCGATGCAAATGCGCGCGCTCTCAACGGCTTCACTCCGCTACACATTGCGTGCAAAAAGAATAGAATCAAAGTTGTCGAATTACTGCTCCGTCATGGTGCTAGCATAAGCGCGACTACTGAAAGCGGTTTAACTCCATTACATGTCGCTGCGTTTATGGGCTGCATGAATATCGTCATCTATTTGCTGCAGCATGACGCCAGTCCCGACGTGCCCACTGTACGCGGAGAAACGCCATTGCATTTAGCAGCCAGAGCGAATCAGGTAAATTTGCAGTAATTGTACGCCTTTCGATTTCACTTTGATGTCACGAGTTTACTAAATATATTGCGTTTTATTCTGCCACGATTCTATTTTATGCCTCGAATGTATGCCCGATTACGTAGACTGACATTATTCGCATACTTTTGCGTAATGGAGCCCAAGTTGATGCGCGCGCTCGTGAACAACAAACTCCCCTTCATATTGCCTCTCGTCTGGGTAATGTCGATATTGTCATGTTACTGCTGCAGCATGGAGCGCAAGTAGATGCGACCACCAAGGATATGTATACAGCTTTACATATTGCTGCTAAAGAGGGACAAGATGAGGTAAAGCAACTGATTGCGAAGAAGATCACCGATCATATAGATACAGTTTACTTAATGCAATTATTTTGGATACGTCATCAAGAATTCTTTATTTAATTTCTCTCTCAATCAGAGTTGTAGTTAGTTGTCGTTTATTACTACTATTATTATTATTATTATTATTATTATTATTATTTGTTATTACTTTTTGTTGTTCGATTACTTGATTATAACTGAAATTGTTTTAAAAGCAATATTGACAATAATTTTTTATTCCCCATCATATATTATAATTATAATTGATTTGTTTTCATTTTGTTTATTCATAAAACGTATTTATTGTTTTTATAAATTATAATTTACAACGAAGAGAACTAACTGTTAACGAGTTTTATTTTGCTGGTCTTTATTTACTTATTTAACCTTTGACCGTTTTCGCAATGCTTTTTTTGGTAACGTAAATCGGGCACATTGTACATTTGCTAATTGAAGGAGCCTCGGAGATATATCTTTTTTTTTTCTTTTTTTTTTTTTTTGTATTTGCGCACTCGAGTAGCAATTTGTTATTTAGGCGGAATAAATTAAGAATAGACCGAACGATCTATTCCCTTCCGGTCATATTTTCGCCTGCTTTCTTTTTTTTATTATTATTACTATTATTATTATTATTATTATTATTATTATTATTATTATTATTATTAATTAATTAAGGCAGGAAGATAAATTCCAAGACTAAAGTCTTAAAGCACTTGAAGCATCTAAAGCTAACGGCTATATTAAAAACTGTACCGCAGTTGAGATGGTTTGAACCCGCGATCGTTGAGTTGTTAGTCGAGATCCCTTGCCAGTCTGGCGAATCTGCTTTCTTTTAAGCTCTCTTGTAGTGCTCGGCCGTGTTGTCGTTGAAGACAAAATTTGCACTTTTCTTGTCTTTTGTTTGTTAGTTAACAATTGCAATTGCAATTACAAATACAATTACAATTTTTAATTGCGCATTTTTGTAATTTTGGAATATGGTAATTGATAGTTTTTAAATTATATTCATATGCATATGTAAATGTTTGTAAATTAACGTAGGTGGCAGCAGTATTGATCGATAATGGAGCTTCGTTAGACGCGGCTACGAAGAAGGGCTTTAGTCCATTACATTTAACAGCTAAATATGGTCACATTAAGGTCGCACAATTGCTCCTTCAAAAGGAAGCTGATGTCGATGCTCAAGGCAAGAACGGTGTCACTCCATTGCATGTGGCCTGTCATTATGATAATCAAAATGTTGCGTTACTTTTGCTTGAGAAGGGAGGCAGCCCGCATGCCATAGCGAAAAATGGTCATACACCGTTACATATTGCTGCACGTAAAAATCAAATGGACATAGCTACTACCCTACTTGAATTCGGAGCTCATGCCAATGCTGAAAGTAAAGCTGGCTTTACGCCTCTACATCTAAGTAGCCAAGAAGGTCATAGCGAATTATCCAATTTGCTAATCGAACACAAAGCAAATGTAAATCATCCGGCCAAAAATGGCTTAACACCTATGCATTTGTGCGCTCAAGAGGATAATGTCAATGTCGCTGAAATTTTGGAACGTAATGGCGCTAATATTGATATGGCTACAAAGGCCGGTTACACGCCCCTACATGTAGCCTCTCATTTCGGGCAAGCTAATATGGTGCGCTTCCTCCTGCAGCATGGAGCCAACGTTAACGTATCCACTTCTATCGGTTACACACCACTGCATCAAACTGCACAACAAGGTCACTGTCATATTGTTAATCTATTGTTAGAACATAAAGCTAATGCAAATGCGAAGACAGCTAACGGTCAAACACCGTTGCATATTGCCCGAAAATTGGGTTATATAAGTGTTTTGGATTCATTGAAATCAATTACTAACGAAGATGAGACCAGCACAACTAATCAGATGCACGCTGAAGAGAAATATCGTGTGGTTGCTCCCGAAGCTATGCACGAATCGTTCATGTCTGACTCGGAGGAAGAAGGTGGTAAGTTCGCTGCATTTCAGAATATTAAATAGGCTTGCAAATAACAGTGGGGGTGTAATATAACGGACAAATTAATACAGAAAATCAGAAAATCGATTCTTTTAATATGTGCATCTATTTTTAAGACTCATTCGAATCAAAAAATATTTAAAAAAAATTTTTTTTCTCTATACACGTACACGGGGTCTCAAAAGTTCGTCATGCTTTACCTCCACTGTACATTATCATAATAAATTTTTTCATTAAACGATCGATAGCATTTACAAGCAATTAAAAAAAAAAAAAAAATCATTTCTATATGCGTTTTGCACCATTCATTCCTAAATTAGAACTAACCAATTCTCGATTTCTGGTCACTTAGATCATTGTACCCATACATTAATGCAAGCGGATTGTACGCTAAACTAAGTAACTGTGTTCGTTAATGCTTAATGTTAGTCGTTGCAGGGAATCTCATTAGTATATCTACCACCAAGAGTTAAAAATTTGTAAAAATTCATTGATCATCATAAACAGTTAAAATTCATAGTTACGTATATTATAATGTATATATACATCTATATATATATATTGAATTTCTATTTGTTATCGATTAATACTGAATACTGATATTATTGCATGAGTGCAGAGAGCTAACGAGCAAGCATTTTTTCATAAGCAATTTCAATTGTTCATATTTCATATGTTGAGATAGTCCGAAAATTCTATTTCTGTCAAAAAAAACTAAAAAAAAAATAGTATGTTTTACATGTATAACGAGAGGACACTTCGGTGGTTGATATTTCAAAACTTTGGCTTAAGCCAAATGTTTTGCTTTTGTTCTGTGTGATATGTACATGTGTATGTAAATATTGGCATTTGTCTTAGGTTACGTAAACGATTGGGATTCTTGTCTGAATACGAAAGGTGACTCGCACCAGAACGATAGCCATGTTTACCTACCATACTACCAGGGTGAATCACAATTTCTATTTCGTAAGTCGCAAATAACAAGTTACGTTATTTGTACAATCTCTGTATGGAATTAAATATGTACATACTACATATCTAAATACATAATATACGCTGTTAGTCAGTCCACTAATCATCATATATGCAGTTTTCATCTTTAGAACAAAAAAAAAAAATATATATATATATTGCTACTACATATCCATAGAATAAACAATAGAGTCGATGAAAACTGTTAGACAAAATTTTCCATTTAACAGAATGTCGCCTTCAGCCAAAGTAATCGCGAACAAAAATAGCATTAAAAGAGAGTTTACTACAGCGATAACAGATATATATCATAGCCAAAATAGAAGTTTTTTATTCAACCAAGGAGCGATCATCGGCCCTTGATCCTTATTTATTGAATAATAGAGAAAATCATTGCAAAACCTAGCCTATACAGTATATACAAGATTTGAGCTGAGTTAGCCATTTTGCTTTGCCCAGAACAATCTTAAGGCAAATAGTGGAAATTTGGCTTTAAGGATTCACGAAAGATCACCCGATGTACCAGAATATAAGTAAGGCTTTTGGAAACGTTTCTTTAATATTCATAAGAAGTACATGTTTTTCAAGGGGCCATCTCTCGAAAAATTGAATTTTTGAATCGCATAAAACCTTTCGACTACCATTCTGCAATGTTCGGGGGACAATTTAAGACCACACAAAAAAAACCAATTACAATTATTCCCTTTTCATTATTTTTTTTCTTAACTTCTTTCAGATAGTATTCGAAATGTTCTATGAGAGTTCGAATTCTCCACACGACTCATTTCTGAATAAACGCATTGCTTCACTACGATTGCTATTTAATTGACTACTTTAATTGTGTTTTTTGGGCTGGCAACACTTTTATCCCAACTCGATTTTCGACCGCTTGACTTGAAATTTCAACTATATAGTCACAATATCAGAGTTGATTGTCGATTTTTAAAAATAAATACATAATATCGATGCCATTTGTCCTTCGGAATCGCTTGAAAAGGCTAAAGAAACGCTTTCTTCCAATGTTTTTTTTTTTTTTGTTTCGTACAAAGGATTCATTAGCTCGTCTCTGTAAGTTAGTGCCACCTATTAAGATTCGCCGTTAAATCTAAGCGATAGATATATAGAATGCTTGTTTCAGGCATTTAACTGAACGGTTTATCTGACTCGCTAGCAATGAGCAAAAAATTCTTTGAAATCGTGCCGTAAGGCAATAAAAAAGTTCCCTTAATGAAAATTTCATCTTATTAAGGAAAATAACTTCTGGCTTGTTTTTCTTAAATCTTTTGCTTTAGTGTTCATTCACAATATATATGCAGACAAGTCTGGACAGATAGACGTTTTGAAAACGGAAATGAATAAGTCTGAGTTTTTAATTTGAAATTTTTGCAAAATTGAATAATAAATTTAATGATCTCTCACTTTTGACATAAGGTGAGCATAGTTTGTGTTGCGATACTTTGGGTGAAGGCGGACAATATAAATAATTATACAACGAATATTATTATATGTAATATGCTGGGTGTATACATTTTTTTGTTTGGTTTACAATGTTTACTGAAAAACAAACACTCTTTAACACAATTCCCTGTCTGTACATAATATTTTTTGTATTGAAACACGTTCCCATCTTCTATTTTATGGACAAAGAATTGCGATTATTGCTATTAGTTTTCTGCCAAGTTGGGAATGAATTTGTTTCATGAAATTTTTGTAAAAGGCTTTTTAAAAAAAAGCTCTGAAGAAGAACATATTTCATTAAAAGAATATTTTTAAATTATTTTTATAAATATTTATTGGAAAAAAGGAAAGTATATATATATTTATATATATTTATATATATAAACTTTATATATACTTTATATATATATATATACTTTTGTGTTTTTTTTTTAGAGGATATATTACCTTAAATATCTTTACATTTTTCTAATAAAAGTTTTTAAAAAAAATGTGGACTTACATCTCTAATTCTGAGACAATTTTTTGCATAAGAAAATGTTGCGAAGCCGATATGATAAATACTTGTTGTAATAGGAAATAATAGTCTCTCTTCTCTGAGAATCAGAGAGTGTTTCAGATACGTTTATTATCAAGCACTTTTTTCATGTCTGCAATTAATAAGAAGCGGCTCGAACTCAAATTCGGACAATGAAGAACTTGAAGCAAGTTATAGCAACAGATTTTTCATAGGTCGCTTTACAATTAATTCCGCTTTAATTTGGTCTTTCAGGTATAGCGATATGTTGTAAAGCTTAGTCAAGTTTTTGCCGTTGTGCGTATACTCCTAGTCTATTATTTGGATACATTAACTTTAATAATCCGATATTTATATTTACATATATAAAAATATTGAACAGAAATTCTTATAGAGACAATATAATATCGTGCCGATCCTTAATATCATTTCAATATTTAATTTAAAATTTAATTAAAAATTGTTCCGATAAGCGTGAATATTCATGATATGTGTAGTTGTCCGTTCGCGTGTTGTTTTGTTATTTAAATTTGGAAACAAGTACGAGGTGAAAGAGGAAGATATCGAAACTTTGGCACAGTTGCGTAGATCAAGTTTGGGAAGTTTGGATAGCTTGCTCATGAACCCGTCATGAAATATCTTAAGACTTATTAACCGATGGACTCGAAATATATATATATATATAAATTTTTTTTAGAACAAAAGTAGTCAGGATCGGCTCATTTTTTCGACCACTCCACACACCAAAAAATGGCAATTTTTTAAATTTATTGGCAAAATTCGCTCTATAATAGTATTTGGGCATTCTTAATAGGTAGAAAAAATAGTTCGGTTGGGGATATTTTTTGGACCATCTATCGTATAACTGTTTCTACGAGAACTGAACTGAATCTTTATCGAGTAAAAAGGTATAATTTTAATTATATTTGATGGCGATTATTAATTCATAATAGTAAATTGTCATAGAAATCAACCTTACCGAATTAAGATCATGTGGGGGATCAATTATTTGGATACAGTCGCACATAAAGATTCCTCCAATGTGCTGGCTTTCAATGAAAGTAATATGCAATTTTTGGTGTACTATTAACAAGACGAGTGAATAACTGTACTATGCGATGTGGTTTACGGTATCTAAAAGTCGGCGTTGCCCGACTATAGTGTTCTTACTTGTTTTAATTGTATTATCACATATCAAATTTGCATCGGAGAAAGATTGAGAACAAAAATAGATTTCTTTCTTTGCTCTCTTTCATCAAACATGCTTGAAATTTGTACTTTCCAATGATTACATCATTTTAGTTGAAATACCGATTGGAATAGAAAATGCAAATGTATCAACGACTTACTTACTGCTCTTAATCGCAAGTACATATCATATTGCCTTCAATTAAAAAATCGCTCGATCGAACTCTTCTTGAAAACTTCTTAAAGAGCTTTTACAAAAAAAAAATTATTTTAAGAATTTTGGAATTGCAGAAAGTTTTAAAACAGAAAAATAAAAAATTATTATCAAATTAATTTTAGAATTTTTTTTCTTTAATATATTGAACGAACAAAAAAGAAAATTTTAATTAATTATTGAAAAATCCTTTCGTTTATTTATTTATTTATTTATTATTTTTTTTGTTTTTTTTTGTTTATTTATTTTTGAAACCATAACAATGGGTACTGAGTAAATTGTTTACACAATTCGATGCTAAAACTACTATACGATACGATGCTTCGAGCAACAAAATTAACAAACTAATGGCAGCCGTTATATTTAAAAAACTCCGCATACTACTGAAGATCATAAATTAATTATGCAAATGCTTTTATTTAAAATTTTATTTGGCATAACATGTAAACTATTATTTCTCATATATATGTACAATACGTAAAAAAAAAAAAGAAAGTATATGAGGAAATTTCCTATTAAAATTATTAATTCACACTTCTGTATGTACATAATATAAACATATCTGTACATATGTGTATAATATTCGTCTATGTAATGCATGCTTACATTTATTTCTTTAAAAAAAAAAAAAAAAAAATCTATCTTTAATGCGATATTCATTCAACGCTATATTATTTTTTAATATTTATTTTATCATTCTATTGCACATTTGCTATCGCTGTTGATTCGCTACTCGAAATTGGAATATAATTAACTTAAACAAACACTTCATGTAACAATTGCCGTAACACGTAAACTGGTGCCATATAGGCGAAGATAACATGCTTTCTGATCAGCCATATCGCTATTTGACTGTTGATGAAATGAAATCCTTAGGCGATGACTCGCTACCCATTGATGTGACTCGTGACGAACGTGTTGATTCGAATCGTGTGGCTCAGAGTTCTGAATATGCACCTGGATTGGGTACGCAATCTCAAGCTATGGAAGGAACTATAAGCCCTCATAAGACGCAAGTATATGCAACAACTAAGTCAGCCGTGGATGGTATTTATGTAACAAACGGAATTCACGACGAACAGCCTCACGTTGGGTAAGTTAAATGCATTTGATTTTCCCATCTTCAACACAACAAACTCTTACATAATTTGTATTATTTTTCATTGCTTTCTCCTTCTGTAAAGGCGTAAACTTTCCTGGAAAAGGTAAACTTTGCTATATCATACAATATATCCTAAATATATCGTACATTGAGACATTAAATCTCAAAGCGAACAAAAACATTCTTTATGTTAACTTTCAATTCATACAAGACCCAAGCAGAGAAAATTTATCGTCAAAAAAGACAAAAAAAACAAGTTTGACAAGCCTCTGCCTAATTACTTTCCAAATCTCAATCGATTATATGTAATGATCTACGTAGTGTACAGGAACTGTAAGGAGTTGCGATCTCTATTATGATTTTTTCAATTCAATGTATTTCAAATAATTTGTATGTAGCGAGGGAGGACTAGAAAAGCTGACTTGATAAACGGATTCATCTAATCTTGACGGATGTCCTATGTAATGTATGCATATATATATGCATATACCCATTTTATTGCTTTCGTATCTCTCAACTCTAGCCGTTACCAACGAAATAAATAAGTAAACCGATCAGAGTAGCCCTACTCCACAATACAATCATTCACTTCTTCACGACTTTATATCTCGAAAATTGTGGTTTATAAATTGAATAAAACCAAAAAAAAAAAAGAAAAGACGGACAGATGGACAGACAGACAGATTAACTTAAATCGATTAGCAATGCGATTGAGAAGTGATCGGTGTAATAAAAGATGAATCAATATCAAGTCCTTCTAGATGTTGCATAGTGTGGGATCTGAAATGCCCTTAGTCAAAATTCTTTAATATTTTTTACCTATATCTAGTTATACACATACGTAAATGTGTATATCATATTTATTTGGGGAAACAGTACGCCAACTTGGACACAATTGTATTCACATGCATAACGACACCGTCCCTCCGTTGCATTCATATAATAATTTTTGATTGTTTTTTTTTTTTGTTTGTAGTTTTTTGGTATCCTTCCTGGTAGACGCTCGTGGAGGAGCGATGCGCGGTTGTCGACACAGTGGTGTCCGGGTAATTATACCGTCACGTTCTACTTGTCAGCCAACACGTGTTACTTGTCGTTACGTGAAACCTCAACGCACGATGCATCCTCCGCAGTTGATGGAGGGTGAAGCTTTAGCTAGTCGCGTTTTGGAACTTGGTCCGGTATCGACTAAGTTTATTGGTCCTGTTATTATGGAGGTACCACATTTTGCTTCACTGCGCGGTAAAGAACGAGAGATTATAATATTAAGATCCGACAATGGCGAAACTTGGCGCGAGCACAACATTGAAAATTCCGATGAAATTATTCATGACGTCCTTCAACAATGTTTCGAACCAGAAGGTACACATCATTGTCTTTTCTACCATATACATACCCGAATATTATATAAACTGTTTGTGTATACACATATATGTGTGGTAATTAAATAAAAACTTTTTAACTTTGCTCTAATACTTAGTTTAAGCAAAATTTTTATTCATTTTCTTTATTTTCTTCTTTTTTTGTTGTTGTTGTTGTTGTCGTTGTTTTCGTTTAGAAATTGCTCAAATGGAAGAACAAAGCGGTAATCATGTATGCCGCTTTGTCACTTATGACTTTCCTCAATATTTCGCTGTCGTCTCACGCATACGGCAAGAGGTGCATGCTATAGGGCCAGAGGGAGGTATGGTATCGAGTACCGTAGTACCCCAGGTACAGGCCGTCTTCCCACAAGGCGCCCTTACGAAGAAGATTAAAGTTGGCTTACAGGTAAATCTATTTAAACCACGGAAAGGAGTTGCTCCAGAAAAGTTACGTAAAATAAGTGTAAATCATGTACCAAAGAAGAAGCGTTTCTCGCTTATTTGGTAAATAATCACACACACACACACACACACACACACACACACACACACACACACACATACACACACACATTTCAATATATGTCCATTTGCGTAAATGTTTTTTTACATTGTACGTGTACACACACAAAAACACACACACACGCACAGACACATATACACACACAAACTTATTTACATTTACATATATAGAAATTCATTAAACATTTTTTAATATACGTTGTGTTTAAGATTACTTTTAATTCTTAATCTCTTAATTGGTATGAAATAAGATTAGTGTGTATTGCTTTAATGATTTGTAAGAATTTCAATCTAATAGGCGTTTGGAAAAAATTTTCTTGTACCTACAAATTTCATTTCACAGCTAGACTACACATTATAGATGCTTACATATCATATATTATGAACATGAACGCATACTTGGCATTTATTATATACAACATAACATATATAAGTAACTCTCCAATGAAAGGCATTTATAAATACATCATTGTTTCAATAAAGTTATCATTTCTTTTCTTCATTTCCTATAACATTGTTACAATCGATGAAGAACATTATCTTTATTACATTACTATATGCACATATTTAAACTTTTAGTATGACGAGCATCCTTTGGTCCCTACAACCTGTGAATAAAAATCTCGTATATAGTTATAGTTGTTAATGCGTTCGCAAATCCAATTAACACAATCCGATATAAAAGAAAATATAACATATATATATATATTTGTATATATATATATATACATAACAAAGAAGAAAATTATATTCGCTCGTGCCCGAACCTTTTATACCCATCACAGATATCCTTAAGAAGACATAAAAGAGAAGTAGAAGAACTAAATTTTCATACTCTATAATAAGGCATGAGCGTGGTTAAGTCTTTCTATTTTCAAAATAAAAGTTTCCTTCGCGTAAGCGTATGGACGTTGTAGGCATTTCCTTTGAAATGTTAAGGTCACTTGTAAATTTTTTGGCGAGTTTGCAAGCCTTCATTTTTCCAAACGGGAGAGTATTTGCCACAGATACCACACGGTTTCGTAGACGGACAGATGGACATCCTTAGGTGCATTCAAAATTTGAAACTGGCCAAGGATTTATATGGGGTTTATGGGTTTGTTTCTGGATTCTGGATTAAATTTTAATGGATTATAATATTGGGCAAGCGTGGTCAATTTTTTCGCACTTTTGTACAGGTACAATAGTTTATGAGTACTGATCAAATAACCAACTTTTTATTCCTTTTGAAAAGCGGAAGTGTTCTCAGTTTACGTAGCACTGTGGGCGCGTCCTTCGAGCGGTTTGCCACATTTTCAATATGAACACGCCTGCAAGAACTTCCGATCTTTGTGTCATAGTAAAAGTTGATAGCTTCATTTTTGCCACCAGGAGGTGCACACGGACAAACAGACAGACAGATTTAGAATTTGATGCTGATCAAGAAGATATGTACTCTGTGGGGTCTCTGAAACTTTTTTCTGGACGTTGAAAACGTTTTGAAAAAATCTGTGTACCCCTTATCCTTCGATGATGGGCATGAAAAGAGAGGGAGGGTAATCCATGAGAGCGATATGTGTATATCGTATCTTGAAGATAATATTAATTATCGTATAGTTAATGATTACAATCTTAGAAAGAGAGAAAACATTTCATGGCTGATATCGAATTGAATTTTGCATTATGTAAGTGATCACACTAAAAGAGCTTGATCCGAAGAAAATTGTGAAATAACCTTCTTGCGAATTCCTTACGCAGTATCAAATATCAAATGTGACTGATACTGCGTTTCTGAACACTTTATTTTCTCAATGCAATAAAATGTTTTTCGGCAACGGCTGCCAATTGATTCTAACTAATTTGAGAACAATGATGTCACTTTAATCACCTACACCTCAATACATCGGTTACTCTGAAATGTGTTGGACCCCCTTAATATTTATTTAGTTTAAAAAGTCAGTAAACATATATTTTACATGTTATGATAACCGTTTGGAATACGCTGCGCAAGGCTTTAAATTTCATTTTAATTTTCCAAAATGCATTCTAATCTTTTTTTGTGTGTCTATTGTGTGCAAAATATAAGTTTGCCGATCTTTAGAATCTTTAGAGTAGAGAGGATCCTGTAACTTTAAAATAGACTTCTTAGACACTGCTACTTATAACATTGTTCTCGTAAAAGTTTGAAGCCAGCGATAAGCTCTGACTGCTGTTTTGTGGAAAACTTGACAGCAAACGCTTCCAATCAGATCAAATGCACAAATGCATAGAACTGCTAAAGACCAAGGGTTTTACATGAAATCCGCCTTCCGCTGCTGGCCTGAATTTTCACATATTGACATTTCTGTTGATTGTGCCGAGCCGCTCCTCGTTCTCATTGAAATCATTTATCTCGGGAATTATTCCAATTTATTCTAAAAAAAAAAAAAAAACGAAAAACATTTTAAAGCGATCATAGAGACAATACTTGCAGATATAGCAGACAGGATTTTAATTGTTCCATCTGCCGAAGGCTATTGAACAGCAAAAGGCCAAAAGTAACTTTTGACACAAAAAAAAAAAAGAAAGACGAAAAAAGCGTAAAGTTAGTCTCTTGAAGAAAAAGTGTTCAATAGAAAGTGAAAGAAATGTCGTGAAATAAAGAGATAGTTGAGAAGAAGAGAATAAAATTTCCAACCCATTAGTGCATATTTATAGGAAATATTTTTGATTATCGCAAACAAGAATCTCATTAAACACGTACAACTACATACAGCTACCCATGCATATAAAAAAAATATTTATCTACATATATATATATATATATATGTATATATATATATATGTACTATTACTTTATATCTATGCATATGTATCCTTTTATTATCATTTGAAATGTATGCTAGTTATGTAACTATGTATGTTCAGATGTATTATTATATGAATCCATTTGGGATTTCAATAAATCTTCCGTATCCAGTGAATACATAATTTATGAAATAATGCATAACACTGAAATCAAATAAAAATAGAAAAGCGACAACAAACAAACAAAAAAAAAAAAAAAAAAAAAAAAAAAAAAAAAAAAAAAAAAACATTAAATAAATAAATAAAAAAATAAATATAAAAATAATTATATAAAAATAAAAACAAAAACGAAAACAAACAAACAAACAATTGCCCAATAAATTTAGTTTAAACAGAAACTTTAAGCAAACACATGTTTTACTTGGTCTTCTTATATTTATTTTATGTTTCTTGTGTGGGTTCCTTGTTGTTATATACATATATACATATCTATGTATTTAATGTTTCAAAAAAGTATTTTACACATCTATGTGCGAAATATGCTTAAGAGCACAGTTTTGTGCTTCTTCATGGTCATTCATTTTATATTCAATGGCTTTGATATGATCCTTGTCTTCTCTTTCTTTGTTCAACATCATGCAGTTTTGCAATTGGGTCTGGTGATGGCGTAATGTGCCTCGTTGTGTTTATAAAAAAAAGAAGAAGAAGATTTAAAAAAAAGAAAAAAACAAAAACAAACTAAAAAAAAAAAGAATAAGGAAAATAGCTAGGTACATACACACACAACCAGAGACAAAATGATTTTTTAATGGCCTTGAATTGTTATTGTGTTTGTTTTAGTTTTAGTTAGACAAGTACTTGGCAGCAATTGCATCAAATTTTTGGTTGGATAATTTATTCACTTATTTATTTATTAATTTTGTTTGTTTGTGTTTTTTTTTTTTGTTTGTTTATTTTTTATATAGCTTTCTGGCTACTGGTTTTGTTATATATATATTTTTTTATGTTAATTTTTCTAATTGAATTGAAAATTGTTCTAATAACTAAATTTATTGGGTTAGAAGGATGTATGTGTGTATGTGTGTATGAAGGGGCGTTACCTTTACGTTTAATAATTTTTTTAATGATTTTCTTTTCGTTATTATTATTATTGTTGTCCATCACGCCTACAAACATACACATTTATTTTTGTAGCACATAATTACTAATATTGATAATTTTGTATATATATATTAATAAATATATATATGTATTATGTAGACTTAAGCGGCCATTTAATTAAAATCATTCCTGTTGACGGTAAAGTGTCAATGTATTTAGTTTTTATTTTCTTTTCTTTTGGTTTTGGTTTTGTTTTGTTTTGTTTTTTTTTTTTTTTTCTTATCTTTGATTTTTTCATACATATATACACACGTACTTAATATGATTTTTATTTGTTTATTTACATTATTCTGGTTAATGCTGTTTAATTAAAAAGATAAATAAAAAAAAAAACCATTCAGTAAAGTGTACGTGTATATACGTATATATGTTCAACACATATTTTCTCTTGTGTTTACCTCTTACATACAGGCACAGCCCGTCGATCCAGATTTAACTGCAAAACTGTTGGGGCGCGGTGTTGCCGTCTCGCCTATAGTTACCGTTGAGCCGCGGCGCCGTAAATTCCATAAAGCAATCACGCTTAGTATGCCCGCTCCTAAGGCGCACAGCCAGGGCATGATCAATCAGTATTCAGGGAATACGCCCACATTACGTTTGCTCTGCTCAATAACAGGTAAGTCGTTTGTGTTGTCAATTCATTTCAATAATCGTCTACTACGTATTGTCTATACGTTTATTTGATTTGAACATTCGTTTAGTTTTCGTTCTTTTTCCGTTTTAGTTTTCAATTCATATTTATTTTACACACAAACATACATATATATATATATATATATATAAATGTATATATATATAAATATATAATACATATATATATATATATATATATATATGTGTATATATACATACATATACATATAATATATATATGTATATGTATATATTATATATAGATATATTTAGAATTCTATAAAAATCTTAAGAAGCTATGTCAGGCATTCATTTACTTCCATTTTAGTTTTTTCTTTACTTATTTTCTTTCTTAATAAATACTTCTCAGTAAGAATTAATTTCTTAGTTCGTTGAGTTCATATTTGTTTTTTTTTTTTTTTAGTCTTCATTTCTTTTCTTTTTTATAACATATGTTTTTTTTGAATTCTTTCTATTTGTATATCTGTCTCTCTATAACATTCTATTTCTTTCTCTCTCCCGTATAAACATTTGATTTCTGTACAATGTATGTAGTGTCACTTTCATTCGATTCGACTCAATTAAATTCAGCTCGCATTCACATTTATATCTATTTGTACCCTTAATATATGTATGTATATATGTATATATGTACATATATGTAATGTATTAAAATATATATATATATATATATATATATATATATACATATATATAGTATACGTATACATGAACGTATGCTATCAAATACCCGTAATTGATATCTTAAATATTGATGTGCTGATCTTTTCATTAGTGAAAGTATACTCCATGTACTCATTTGTAGCTCATTTCTGTTATTTACTTTTATTATCCGTTTACCTTAATTTATTCTTTTTATATATCGTTTTTTCTGTTCAACAAATCAATATTGCGAAGATACGTCGTTCTTTCTTTTTGTATTGTTCTTTCACATATTTTCATCTTCATCGCCAATTGTATATGTAACCGATACAAAATATTTCTAAACTCTTTTATATTAACATATGTATGTATGCATACATAGTTAGAGTTCCATAGCTAGTTAGAGTAGACATATGTCATATAAACGTAAATAAATATGCATACATTTACATTCGTACATGCAAACATACATACATTTGTATATACATACATAAACTTCAATTTTAATTATTAATTTTCATACCAGACCATCATCGAATCGAGCCTTTTGTAAATGTGCCGCTACAACAAAAACAAAAAATAACAAAAAAAAAAAAAAAACAAAACAATTGTTTTATTGCTACTTTTCTTCATATCATACATAAACATAAATACAAATACATTTACTTAATAACGCACATGCATAGATGCATTTAATTCCTTATACAAATCGATAGATACGATACGATAGAAACACGTCTAATGTAATGCAAAAAATTTTCTCATACATCTTAATACGTATATGTACGTATGTATACATGAGCGCGTACATATACCGTATAAAATCAAAATAATATCGAAAATGTATTTGAAAGGTAGCATATAGCGTATGTCATTCGAGAAAACGAACTGAAAGATTTTGATTTCGAGAAAAACTTCTAGACATCGTGGAATTCATATTAAGGGCCATCAAGCTGCTTAGCAGCTAAAAGAGAAGAAAAGATTACTTAACGACTGATGTAGTCGCACAGGAAGATCTGATAGCGCCTAAAATCTTTTCATATTCTCTATCGTTTGTCGGGTAATCCGGTTTATTAGATTCGTGCGAATACACGTAATATGTCAAAGAACTGGAGAAAGACCCAACTTTTATTATATCAACTCGGATAATTTTCTCAGCCAATTTAAGGCTTCCTCTCCGTCCGTCCGTCCATCCGTCCGTCCGTCCATCCGTCCGTCCGTCCGTCCGTCCATTTGTTTGTCGGTTTATATGCATGAGTTTTTGAAATATGATTCTTGGCCATGTTTTGATTTGGACTTGAAAAATTCCAATTTCCCTATAACGTTCTATATTAAAGAAAGTCGTTATATAAATAAAAATGGATGAAATAGAGCATTTTGGCAAACTAAATGAATGCGGAAAACTTGAATAGGACCGAATTATTTTTTTTTAAGCATTTTCCCATAGAAATGTTGTAAGACAGAAAACGCGATCCTTCGTAATAAGTAGTATAGTTTATAACGAAATTTTACCCAAATTTTCATGATGTCACACATATAAACTTACTATCCTAAATAAATGGACAACATTAGGCTACTTTTCGGTCTTCCTTCTATATAAGGGTTCTCATGAAAGGAGCTCTCTGTGTATAGGCAGAAGGTCTAAATTTTCCATATTTTATGACGATAATAGATAAGGGATTGTATTGGATGAAGCGGCATATAGTGCTTAATAGTCGATTGGGCTCGATTTCATTTACTTGTTTTTCGAGATAAACACTTTTTTCTTAATTAATTGCTGGGCATGGTTTTTTACGAGTAAACCTGTAAAATCATGGTATTAATCCCTTAATTGCAATTTAAATCTATTTTTTGCTACATTTTTGTAATTGTAAGACATAAATTCAAGTCAAGTAAATAGTTTGATGCCAGCACTTGATTCTGTTTGTCGCTTTTTTGGGAGGGGGAAAAAACAAACAAATTTTAAAATTAAAATATGCACGTTTCTTAAGAAGAATAAATGATAGTGTTTTTAAACGTACCGCATTTGATAGGTAGTACGAAACGATGTCATATGATATCGTATAATACATGTATAGGCATTTGCTATAACGGATCTAAGCTAACAGAATGTCAAGTATCCTATATTAGAACGAAGACCTGTTGCATTAAAAACATTAACAAGATTTAGTTGATAGATTTTTATCAACTATTACGCGAACATGTATGTTTAGGTCGATTCGCTAGCCCCTCAATGCCAGTAAGAAGACAATATAAAGATTAAGATTGCTGTCGCAGACAGATAGATAGATACGCATACAAATGGTCGTGATCGAAATCATCTCAACATTTATACGAAAGAGCAGATAAGAAGATTACGTCGGGAAATATTTCTATGCTTTGCTACTATTAAATGTACTCAAAAATTATATGTGTCGAGGAATTGCTTGCGCCTATGACGTTTTCATATCTTCCAAGCTTAGACATTGGTAGTTCATTGCTATCGTATAAGTTTCAGTTGCTTGCAAGCACATCAACGCGTAAGAAGACGGAAGTCAAGTTGATTGAATTAGTTTGCAAAAAAACTGCCGATATGATCAATTTGGCTTGAGTTGAAAACGTAGAAAGCTATGCAACAGTTCGAAAGTGCATGTATGCAAGGTTACATGCAAAATCTTCGAAAGTTATCTTTCATTTGGTCTGAGAACCGTTCTCTACATCTGTCTCTTTTTGTTTATAACTGGCTTAAATCGATGCAGTCATATTTAGTAGAGCAGTGGCTTCATGATGTTAGAAAATGCATTGCTGATTATTTCGCCTCGAAATCGCAAAGTTTTCACCGCGAGGGTACTAGCGAGGGGGTAAGCTAACTGGATAAGAAGCGATACGTCACTGATAACGATTTTATTAATTAAACGCGAATTTTATCAAAATAATACACAGAATTTATTTTCAATATCCAATATATAAAGCCTATAGTGGTTGACATAGAATGATAGCTTATTTTACTGGTTTTTTTGAAATGTTGTCCTCTCAAACTCATTTTTTGGACAATGATTTACAAATTTAGAAAATTTGCATTTAAAGTGGTTCCAATCATGCCCTGAACTGCTCTACGAAATCTTATGAAATCCGCTTTGAAAAGTCGTTGTATGAATAACTAATTGTATTAAACGAAGTGATGTAGGGTACGTAATGGTTTGGCTGTATCCCACAATATAATATTTTTATTGGCTCTTGTTAATTGTATAAAATTTGCCTTAGAATAATCGATTGCTTTCTTCTCACCCACGCTAAAGCAAATAATATGATCTTTGAAAAAGTGATGAATATATCGATTATGGTTATAAGTGAGACTTAAGGATTAAGGGTCCTGAGTTGATCTCATCATGTTCATCATATAAATTTCATTTTCCTTCACATTGACTGCGCTAGCATATTAACTGAGCTTAAGGTTGTGCCTATATAGTTCAAAGTGTTTAGCTTGTGCGACTGATTTTCGTTTATGAAATTTGTTGTTTTTTTTTTTTTTCTTGTGCAGGATATAAATGTAAATGTAATAGTGTGTATGTTCTTCGAACATGATCTTATCGAAATGATTAAGGACGAAGTAGTAAACAATGGTGACATTATCAATAATTTAATAGATGATGAAGACAAGGACAAGAAGAACAAATAATATATATGCAGGGATTCACTTTCGCTGCAAACGAACCACGTATATTTTTTCTCTTTTAAGTTCCAAAAAGAAAAAAGGCTTCGTCATCATATATCGTCTGGTTATCGCGACGTTTTTAAGTACCTAAGCAAAAAAAGTTTTCAATGTTTACGTTACAACAAAAAGTCAATCAACTCTAATATGTTCAAGTGACGAAAGCGATTACCATTTAGTTGGTCGCAAGAATATGTGCGTTTTACTCTGTGTACATTTTAAAAAGCATTTGCATATCTAAAATGAAAAAAAAAGTTTTCCATGTATAATAATTGAACCACCAATTAATATTATCAAATAGAGATTTTTTTGCGGTTCCTGTCCGGCGCAGAAAATAAACACGTTGCGACGTGTTTATGTAGTTTCCGTTTATTTTTCTCTGCTGCCCCTGCGCACATGCACAAAATCAAGTTCAACTGCATTATAATTGCGGGAAACGTCAAAGTACTATTGTTAGTAACTTGTAATCAACTGCATATACGATATATAAGTTATATAGAAATGATTTATTATAGAAAATAGCGAATTTGTAGATGAGAGAAGTTTGAATGTATGCAAGATACTCTGCCTGTTTGCGTCATTAAAAAAAAAATGAAAAAGATTTCTGTTCTTTTCTTGTTTGCGGGGTTGTAGTAGATCACGCAGTAAATAGATTCTAATGAAAAAATAATTTCTCTGGATATAACAACAAATTAAACGATATTTTATTTATAGCTGATACTTTCCTTACTTTCGAAATACATATGTAAAACGATGCATTCCGTGTGCGTTGCATTTCATTTAAATATGCAAGAGTTAATGAATAAAAATTTCTATAATAGACATGAAAGGGGCGGGGGGATGGGGGGGACGGGGACCGGCAAAGGGAAAACGAAAGCAAAGACGTCATACATAAATACCTCTAGGTATGCATGCATTTATGAATGTATGTGTATATAATTGTATGTATATGTAAATGTGTGTATATTTCACAAATTGACATAAAATTCTGAGATAGCGTAAATGTTTCTCTCCATCATGCACAAGTATGTACATATGTACATAATAATAATAAATATTTAATTTAGAAAATTTGAAAATGAAAGCACAAGCCGAGCTATAAATGGTCGTGTGTGATAAACACTTATCTATTTATCTACACACATACACAATATCCCAAAAAAACACGAAACCATACATCAGTCGTTTATAAACATATATGTAAAACTATATGTACGTACATACAAATGTTTATGATTTCCAGTTTTCATCATTTTTCTTAACGAGATTTTTACAATTGCGTTCCTTTTCGTTACTTGTATTCTTGTTTCATTTCATATACATATATATATATATATATATATATATATATATTTATTTATTTATTTATTTTTTTAATTTCACAATATTTCCTGTGTTGTTTTATTGTCTTCTTGTGGTTTCAATGTGTTTTCCTTTTTAGTTCGTGTTTTTTTTTCTTTTCGTTTTTTATTTTTGTCTTTTCGGTTTTTTCCGTTTATTAAAATTACAATGAAATAAGTAAAGCAAAAAAAAAAAAAAAAGAAGCAATTAAAACTGAAATTCGTATACGATTTTTGTACTAATGCGTTCAATGCATACATATGTGCACGCATTCCATATCTATTGTTCTACCATCACAATGAAGGTGTGTTTCGGAAAAGATCTCTAAAAGGTAACTAGCAAACAAAACAAATAAAATCAAAGCAATCAAAAAAATACAGACAAAATTGAATCAAATTATTATTCCAATAATCCTAGTCACAAGCATTTTCTTTTTTCTCTTTTGTCTTTTTCTCTCTTTACTCGTTTCGTTTTATCGATTTTCTTTTTATAATTTGATCTAATTTTTATTTTTTTATTTATTTATTTTTCATTTAATTATTATTAAGTACGAACAACTTAAACAGCCAATCAGCTCTAAATAAACGCGACTGTAACGTTTCCGCGTTTCTCTTCCATTCTATTTTTATTCAATTATTTATTTATACATTATTTATTAATTTGTTCGTTTCCTTTTTTGCTAATCAAATCCCCCCAAAAAAAATAAAAAAAAAATATATATAAAAAATAAAAAAATAAAAATATATATGACGAATTTAACAAAAAAGAGAAGCAAAAAAAAAAAAAAAAAAAAAAAAAAAAACAATTTAAACATATTCATGTCTCTCCACAAAAAGGCAATAATCAATATACAACTGATTGCCAAAAAATATTATTGGAATACATTTGACTAATTTAGAAAAAGATGTTTTTATTTTTTAATAAAACTGAAACAGGAGTAAAGTCATATCAAAATATCGTCCACTCGTACGTTGCGCTCTACTCGTACTTTTACTAACTTTAATAATAAAATATTTCTTCACCTTTTTTAATTCTACAATACTTACGCTTAAAAGTCAATTCTTTTTAACATACAATATATTTGATTATTTATTAATTCATTTTTTGATTAAATAATTTTATTTTCGGTTTTCAATTTTATTTTATACTATTTTTAAAATATCGTTTTAAATATATTTGAAAATAAAATTTACATATATTTTTTTTTTTTTCTTTTCATCTACCTATCTTAATTTTACCAGCTAACATTAATTTAATCATAGATCTTCTGCCAAAAAAGAAAAAAAAAACAAAATTAAAATAATTATCATAATTTGTGTTAAAAATTTTTTTTAATAAAATTTTTTCACATATATTATGTTTTTTTTTTTCTTTTTGTTTTTTTTTTCTTTTTTGGCAGAAGATCGATGATTCAATTAATGTTAGCTAAAAAAAAAAAAAAAAAAAAAATATGTACATACATACAAACAAATAAGAAAAAAAATTTCAAAAATAATACAAAATGCATGAATATTCAAATAGTTTTAGAACTATGTCAAACAATTAATTCAATTAAATAGAGCAAGTTGAATGTTGTCTGGAAGAGTATTTGCTCAGCAACCTTTGTTTCTATGGTGAGATCTAAAACTGAATCGTGGACAATGGTACGACTTCATCTAGTATTTTTAAATGGAACGCGACAATATTTGACCACGAAATTTTCTAAACCTTTGTTAAATATTCATTCATTCCAATTTTCCATCTTTTCCATCGCTTGTTACTATATGGCATCGTGCAGATCAATTGCTGAACGGACAAGCGGATATATGATTAAATTTACTCAAGATTTACGATGAAATCTATAGCGATAAAGATGACTGTACTTTAGGGAATCTCTCAGACTTATTTCTTAATGTTAAGAACGGAACAACTAAATAAATAAATATTAAATTTAAAAAGAAAATACATACATAAATAGACAGTATTATTCTGTGGCAAAGAGAATGAGAGAATTCTCAATTTCAACATTTTCCTAACAATTCTCTTTGTATTTTTTATATTCTCACAATACGAGCGCGTTTTTTTTCGTTATTAACGATAATTGGAGCGTATGAGTATTTAATTATTTATTATTTCAATTATACGTTTGAAATCATATTACTCCAGACAACAATAATATTGTATCGTTTACGAAAACCCCAATCGGGGATATGTTTCGTTTTTCATTTCTGTTTATCGTTTCATTCCCGCAGGAACGAAATGTATGCAATGCGAAAAAAAGAAAGGACACGTCTTGTGTGAACATATGTATGCATGTATATATTTTCACATACATTGAACAAGTGTATGTACATAGCTCGTAAGGAGAACTTTTCTGAAACCAATACGTTTGCGTAAGCCGTTCATGTTTTATAATCATGTATTGTATGGTATTATCTTCTTTAGTTATATTATTATTATTATTATTTTTTTTTTTCTAATAATTCTTCATTTAGATAATTTTCATTTGTATTATTTTATACTTTTGCGCACACATTCATTTGTACGCTAATATATATATATATATATATATATATATATGTATATATATGTATATGTACATATATTAAATAATTAATTTATAATTTGTGAGATAATTATGTGTGTATGTATTAAAAGCTGTTTTACTAGAACTACTACATTCTCAATTCATAAGCATATCATATACAGACACAACACTTCTACATGCACATATCCTACTTCTATTTAGCATGCTTTTTTCGCTCTTAGCATTAAAAAAAAATAAATAAAAAATACAAAAAACCTACCAAACTTTTCGACTCTTGCATTTAAATATTTCTTTTTTTTTTTTGTTTTTTTGGTTTATTTTTGCTAAACCTTAATAATAATTGTGTATGTACATAAATATATGTTCGAGAATATCAACTTGCTTACATATATGTGTGTACATGTATGCTTAATTAGGGATAATTTAAGAGTTTTTTTTTTTTGTTGTTTTCTTTAATATCGCGTGCAGAATACTAATGTTTTCATACGAAACATTCAGGATATATATATATGTATATATATATATGTATATTTATGTATCCTTTGATAAATAAACTGTAACCACTTAACAATGTTGATTTCCTTATTTGCTTGAAAAATGAAAACTGACGTCTAATAATAATACATTATATAGTTTTGTAACAAAATAGCATATAATGGCTTTATATAATGTATGGTTTAGTATTTGGGTAACTTTTAAAGAAGAAAAAAATATATATGATTCACCTATCTCCTTAGTCTTCATTGTCAAAAGATTAGTTGGGAGTATACATGTATTTATTGTAACAAAATGTATGCAAATATCCCTTAAAGTATATATATTTGTAATCAGTACTGTATTTTATGTCGATTTACGCATGTCTGCGTATATGTGTATCCGTTCATATGCATGTACGACATCGAGCCTTCGAGTTTGGTAAAAACTATAGAGGATGATATTGAAAATGGGCAAAATCGATGAAAGGGGGCATGTCTACAGCGTAACAAAATTAGAATGCGCCCGTTTTCAAAAGCAAAAGATATTTGGGCGCTTTGCCTATTACTTATATAACTCATGCAGCAAGCAAAACAATAAAAAATTGCAAGTATATTTTTTGTGTCAATTCGCAGTATTTGGACAAAAATGGAAAAAATCTTCCAGACCAACTCGATATTGAAGACTAGCGAAATTTTACTTGCTTAGATCAAAAAAAAAAAAACATATTTCTCTCTCAAAGTAAGGTGTTGGGCATATTCAAAAGTTTTGGCCACGGTCGAATTTGGTTTTTTTTTTTAATAAATCGGGATTACGAATTTTTGTATCTATTATCGAAGAAATGACTTTATTTATATTATCATTCTGCTTGTATGATTAAGAAACGTCCGGCACGCAATAGAGACTTTGTGCAATCAGTTCTGAATCAGTTTAGCTCGAATCATTGAAGCAAGAAGTTTTAATATTTTTTTGGCCTAAACATAAGTTATTCGGAAGGCATTATTGCAGTAGCTCGTAAAGTGAAAATATTTTTATCAACAACTATTGACCTGTCACAAACATTAATGCAAGTAGCAGCAAATGCTCTTTTCCGATTTAATGCTTTAGAAGAAAAAATAACTGACTTGTGCTGTCAGATACCTAAAATACGCCCTAATGTAAGAACAGATTTCCATTTGGATGAGATATTAAATACAGTACAAGTCGAAAAGAACATTCATGTACATGGTTAAGCCAAAGTTATTTAAACAGTAACAGTAAACAGTATTAAGATAATTTCCACTTCTTGGACTACAACTGCAAGTTTAATTACTGTTATTATCACTTTCCGAGTTTCGATTGATCAATTTTCATCCTTTCGATGTATTCATTCAGTGGGGCTTTATTTGTTTTGTTAACTGAATTTTTATAAGCCTTCGTTTCGTTCTGCAAATTGGGCACAAAATTATATATAAAAACATGAGTACAATAAACTGGTATAGGGTGATAAAACCCGATAATGCACAAGAATATGCGACGGCAAAGATTGGAATCGATGTCCATCTACTTATCTGTTATTGGTCCGCCTGTAATCAGCGAAATTTTGCCGTCTTAGCAGTAGACCCCCAGAACTCGTTCATTTTATTAGCTACATCAGTTCATTCGATATGATGAAAATAAGTCGTTTTATGGAACGCAATCCGATCTGAAAAATTTTCGATAACTTTCGCGTTTGGGCCAAAGCACATCGTTATGCAATATTTAATCAAAATATTTCAAAAATTACGATTTTTAAGTTGAATCCAAGAATATAAGACGAACAGAATGAAGAGATAAGGCGGATAGATAAGCTTAGATCGATTCAAAAACACTCTATATATATATATATATATGTAATATTCTATATGTACAATAAAGATTGAATTTATGTCATAAATATCTTTCTGAATGTTCCATGCATCCGCACAAACTTAATATACCCTTGTAATCCAAGGCATCTAGGTTATAATGAATAGAAACCCGGAAGTGCGTTAGTTATAAAAGAATGACTTTTAATCCGAACGTAGCTATAAGTGCATCGCGTTCATTTTGCGGTAGTATTTTAGAATATTTGTATTAAATTTTAGTTTGACGGGGATGACATTTCGATAGATCGATACGAATCTGTTTGGAAATAAAAAATATTTCCAATAAATTTCTATTTTCCATCCTCCTTCCTTCAACTGTAAACGCAACGATTAAAAATTCTAAATCATATTTTATTCATGCGATCAGATAATGTCGGAAATTAAAAAAAAAAAAAAAACGAACGAGACAGGCTTCAAAGCGAGCTTTTCCTATACGAATATAAACGTGTAGTAAGTTTTCTTTTTTGCACGAGCAATTGCGTTAAGCTTCTTTCAAGCAATCAAATGAAAGTCAAACTTTAGCATGTCCACATTTGTCTCTCAAGGGTAAACCGAAAAACCGAAACAAGTAAAGACACTATAATGTGATACGGTCCACTATCGTTTCGCTTGGTACGGCGGCTAATCATATATTGACTTTTCAGAATAAAATCTTCTATGGGAATTGACTGAAAAAGTGTCCGATCCGAAGCATTTCCAATAGAATTCATCCTTGAGCCAAGAGGCGTTTGCGAAGTGAACTTTCATCAAAATATCCTAAAAATTTTGACCTATAGGCTGAATAAGCGAACACCAGACGGACAGACAAAAATCGATTGGTATAATAGAACATGCGTCTATCTCAAGTTCTTTGACGAAATAGACACACCCGCCTTAAAACGCTAGCATATAAGCCTGTCGGTTTTAATGAAAACTCTATCGCCCTTGAGTTTTAAACCTCCCACCTTTTGAGTTGCTTCTTAGTCAGCATCCTTTGCCTACTTAGCCTTTCAAGTGAATTATATAAACTTAAAAATAAAAAAAAATAAAAAATTTTGAAAAATTCTCCGAGAGTTTTAGATCTTCTTCGAATACGCGAACTGTGAGCTCGTCGAGCTTCTCTAATCTGCTTCAAGTTTTTTTAATTTTTAAACCTTATTGCGCGTAAAGAATGCAAATTTTTATTGAATTGTCGATGATAGGGGAGAGCCAATTGTTTTCTTTATTCATAGCATGAATCATTTCCTAAAATCGTACGTTTATATTCATACATACACGCATATATTTAACCACATATGCATATGTACATAAACAGAAGAACGTATGGTTTAACTGCTGCCAATCACGTTCACACCACACTGACCGCTAAAACATCCACTTCTTGGCGTTCGTATTTCTCACAAATTACAAGAAAAGGACAAATAGAAAAAAAAATATATATATATTAATTTTTTTTTTTTTTTCTTTCATTATCTACATTCATCAAAAAAAAAAAAACATCGTGTGACTTATATGTTCGTTCGGTAACAAAAAAAGAAAAAAAAAAAGGAAAAAAGCAAACAGAAAGTTATTTACGCACGCGTTTTAATTTATTGATTTTTGCTACATGAACGCAGATGCGAACTCAAGTTAGTTTGCGGCTAAGTCGTTTCAATTAAGACGGTTGGTTATATTTGAATTGCCGTTTTCCAAAACTCTGACATTACAACTGGGTAAACAGGTGGAAAATGATTCAGTTGGTTGTAGACAAATAATAAATTCACTGTTTTTTTATTTAGTCTTTTCCTTTTTCTCTTTCTTTTTTCTACGATCCTTAGTTGTTATTATTGTTTTGAATTTCTAGTTTTTTCATTGAATTTTGCCTTCACTTAAACTGCGCTTTAGTTTTGTTAACTTTTGCTGCTTTTATTAAATTCATTTCAATTGACTTTGCCGCCAATTTGATTTTTTCGGGTTGAACTATTATTCTTTTTTTTTTTTTTTGTTTTCCTTTTTTTGTTTTTGTTTTTTCGTTTTTCTTTAAATCATTTTCTGAAAACTAATAATACTGTTCGTGATTTATTGGCAAAGTGGTGTAAAAGTTTCTTTAATCATTTGATACAATTTTCTTCCATTTATTTGTAATTTTCATAAAATCATATTGAATGGCAGGACGAGTTCTGACAGAATCGTTTACGTATTATTTACAATTTAGGTGGACCATCTAGAGCGCAGTGGGAAGATGTGACCGGGTCTACACCTCTAACGTTTGTCAACGATTGCGTTTCGTTTACCACCACCGTGTCAGCTAGATTTTGGTTGATGGATTGCCGCAACATATCAGAAGCAACAAAAATGGCCACCGAATTATACAAGTAGGCGAACAAAATTTTTCAGTTAGACATTCATATATAATTTGATCCGTTTCGTTCGTTATCGTAGAGAGGTTATCCACGTACCATTCATAGCGAAATTTGTAGTGTTTGCTAAAAAGGTGGAGCCTTACGAAGCTCGTTTAAGAGTCTTCTGTATGACGGATGACCGCGAAGATAAAACGCTCGAGAAATTAGAACTTTTTACACAGGTTGCGAAGAGTCGCGATGTCGAAGTGCTTGAGAGTAAACCGCAATATATTGAAATGGCCGGGAATTTAGTTCCGGTGACAAAGTCAGGCGAACAGCTTCAATTACCTTTTAAGGCATTCCGCGAAAACCGTTTGCCCTTTACGGTACGTGTTAAAGATCAGCACGCAGATATAGTTGGCCGCACTTTATTTATGAAAGAACCAAAGGTGGCTAAAGGCGAGCCGCCCCAGCATCCAATCTGTATACTCAATATCGTCTTGCCTGAAACTGTTATACCGGATTCAACGACTGCCTTCTCTGACAAAATCACTAGCACCTATCGTAGTTCATTGTTAAGCTTCAGTAAACATCAAAACGATCATTATATCGGTGATATACGAATAGTAGATTTATCTAATTTATTGGGTAAGGATTGGATACGTTTGGCTACTGAAATCGGCATCAGCACCGAAGAAATTGATGAAATTATTAATCAGAACACCGACAGTATAGCACGACAAGCGCAAAGCATGATTCGCCTTTATAAAGACAAACCCAATTATGATATTGGCTTACTTGAAGTTGCCCTTAAAAATATTGGACGCGATGATATTATGAGTAAATGTAAGAGCGGACGGCTTTCACATTCGCGCGACTTCGACGACACCGATATTATGAAGAACTCGGAGTCCGTGGAGGAGCTCGTTCGACTCGAAAGTATGTATTCTTGTACTCTTCTTTTTCTTCTTTTTCTTGTTTTTATTTTTGTTTTTTGTATTTAATTGATTAATTTTGGAAAAATTCGAAAATAACATTATTCCAGATAAGCGTATACAACAAATTAATGAAAGTGAAGAAGTGAAATATTCAGCCGAGGAAAAGGAAATCGAAGATTCCGAGTCTGATGAAGAGGTAGCAAAACAAACTGTAGCGGAGCGGCGCGAGAAAATAGTGAAGCGTTTATCAGTTGAGAGACAAATTCCGGCCTCTTCACAAAAAAAGGAAATAACCCGCGAAATAACAGAAATCAAGCGTAAAAGTTTAATCGAAGATAAAAAGGCAATGCACGAATCTGAAATATTTATGCAGTTGCCAGCCGATAATAGCGTCAAATCCACCGTTGTGTCCGAACATGTCATTAAAATGAAATTGGGTAAGAAGGATTCAAGCGAAGTGAGTAAAAGTGATTTTGATAAGGAGTTGACCTACAAATTTAAGACATCGAGTCGCAGTTCCGAAGAAACGGACGATTCGAGTCTAATCGATCAAAAGAGTCATCAAGATATTGATAATTTGAAAATAACTAAGGACCTTAGCAGTGTGGAAAAAACAAGTAAAATTTCAGACTTTATATCAATGGAAATGGAATCGTCTGCCCCAACGACAGAGGTTAAAAAACTAAGTGAAGATTTCCTTAGCAGTGAAAGATTAACCGAACAGGAAGCTCAGCCAATTATTATAACTGAAAAATTTACTGAAGAGTTTAAGGAGAAGATGGATCTTAAGCCAAAAGTTAATGAAGAATTGAAAGAAACCGCTGAGCAAATGGTGAAAACAACAATGGAGAAAGCCAGTAAAAAAGTTGAAAGTATTATATCGGTATTTGAGGCTCCTCAAACGGAAAGAATTATAACAAAAGAAATTATTATACAAACAATACCCAAGGAAAAAGAGATAATCGACGAAATTCAAAGTGACGAGCAATTGATAACTTGGGACATTAAAGACGATGTTCAGGGAAAAGTTGATAGTGTGGTTGACGAGCAAGTGCCCAGTAAAGTTGAAAGTGCAAGTGTTAAAGACAAAATTAAAACGTTTACTGAGCAAAAATTGGACGACCCATTGAAGGAGACCTTCGTCACCGGAACAAAGAAAGTTTCTGAGACTGTTAAAGTATTTTCTTCACCCAAAGTCGATGACGTCAAACAAACCGCTGCCGATATTCTACATAAACAATTTACCGAGATAGAAGAAAAAATGGATGATGTTAAAACGAAGGTGACTAAATCGAAAGAAAAAATTATTGACGCCAAATCAACAATTATTACTGGGCTAACCGACTCCAAAACTAAAGACTCACTTTCGGAAAGCGAAGAATCCATTATTGTATTACCTAAAAGCGTAAAAGATACGGCAAAGACTTTCGCAGTATCTGACCTCAAAAGCAAACTCACTGACACTAAAGTGTCTTTTCTGGAAGACAAAGTATACGATCCTGAAAAGCATTATATAGAAGATATTAAAGATCATGTTGTTATTGATGCCGTTAAAGATACTTTTAAGTCTATAGAGAAAGATTTCTCAAAAAAAACCGCTGAAATTAAGGAAAAGGTTGACGACACTATCATTGACGAAACGAAAAGTGTAAAAGATACTATTCAAATTTTCACGAAAGACAAGATTGGCGATTTAAAAGATAAAGCCGATAAAGTTGATAATGATTTGCGTAAAGTAATCACATTCGCTACAGAGAAAGTTGATGACTTGAAAAGCGAAGAGGTTGGAATTAAAGAAAAACTCACAGAAACCAGGGAGTCGATTAAAATGGAGACCGAAACCGTAGCAGATACAATTAAAGATTCTATTGAATATTTGAAATCCGAAGATCTGAAAGATGAAATCAAAGAGATACTTGTTGACACTACAGGTGCAAAGGATACCATAGAATCTAAGGCTGAAGACGTTAAAACTAAAGTTTCTAAAATTGAGGATAGAGTTAAGGACACAAAAGTATCGTTTACTGAACACTTTCTAAGAACCGAAAGGATGTCAGACGACACAGATAGCAAACCTACGGCCACTACTATTAGTAGTGTAGTTTCAGTATTAGAACCAACATTTAGTCAAGATAAAAAAAGTTTAATTGAAGATAAAGTTCAATCACTTGACACAGTTTTGCAACAGATGCCCAAAGAAAGTGTTAAAATCGATGAGAAGAAAATGCTTGGAATTGAAGAGAGAACATCTGCGACTGCCATCGAAGATGTTTCATTTAGAGAGTCCATTGAAAAATTAGAAGAAATGAAATCTATTGTAACAGACGCACGAAAAATTACTCAAGACTTTCTAGGCACTGAGCAGCATTCTCGTATACCGGTACCAACTAAATTAAAAAAGGAAGTGAAAACCATCGAGACTACGAAAAAGGAAACGTTCAGTTTTCCACCGACAGTTGAAAAAGATGTCATCTTAACGGAAAAGTTAACCAAGACCAGTGAACAAACAAAAATTCCTATAAAAGAAATCACAAAAATTACAACTGATCAATCCAAGGACAAATTTAAAATGATGGCAGATCACGATGAGAAACCATCAAGCGTTGGTGAATCTATAAGAACAAAAACAATTGAAACAGTAACATTTAAAACCATACATGAACCAATAAAGGAACCTATCGAGTCCATGACGACCGTCGCTGCTAAAGAAGTTACAGTGGCAGCAGCCGTACAGCTGGAAGAAAAAACTAAAACAACTATTAAGGATTCAAAAATAATTGATAAGGATTCAGAACTAACAGCAACTGTTAAGGACGCAACAAAAGATGATATTTTAACTAAAGAACATATTGTTGAACTACTGCAAGCAGATGAGTTAGTTGCGCCAGCACCGTTTGAACCACGAAAATCATTGACAGACGCTGAGTTCTGCAAGTCAGTTCAGGAAACCATCACCAAGAAAATGAGTGAAGGCCTCATAGAAATAAGCGACGAGCTGCAACTAAAAGGTATTAAATAAAATTTGTCTTAAGCTACCATCGTTTATTTCTTATTCGATCTGATTAGTGCATAGCGTAAAAAGCATATTCATACACATTTCCGGAAGTCAGATAAAGCCCACTGCAAACGCTTTCATCACACCTAGTTAATAGTGCAGCGTTAATTTTTAGCCGTATCCGTGGCAAAGTATTTACCTCGTTGAAACTTTCGTTTGCCTGTGTGTGTCGATAAACTACCTATACGAAATCCAGACGTCTATCAGCAGGAGTTAGTTATTTCCTTTTCCTTCCTATATAGTCGTTTCAATTTGGTAGTCCTTACTATGGACATAAGGGGCAATAGTGGGCTGAGAGCATGTCTGTGATGTACACTGTATTGATATTTTTTCGTGGATAGTCAAAATTCAAAGGGTAAAGATATTAACGGTTTGTGATTCGGGCGGGATATATGAAAATTCTAAACATAAGCGTAACGACATGTTGTGTTACGCGTTATCTATCGCTCTCCAAAAGGATTTGCTGTCACTTTAAGTCGTCTTTGAATGAGGGACCACATAAACTGAATAGCTAGCATCTATTTAGATCCCTCTATGCGTTTGCTGCCGTTTATAATAGCAACTTCATTTATGAACGTATTTTATAGCAACGCGAAAACAGAGTATGTAAATAGACTACGGGTACGTTACCGAACTTGCGGTCTGATCACGGCTATTGGATTTCTTAGAATTCATTTAAGATGAAACGCTAGTTATTTAGCCATTTCCGTCCCGATTTCCCACAAAACACTTGTGTGACTTTTTCGGATTATTTTACTTAACGATTCTTGCGAGAGCCTTTCGTACCAAAAGTCAGCACAACAGTTCTTCATCCTCAGGGAACAGAGGCTGCAGGAAACGATGCAGGGTAGTTCCAATGAACTACTACTATAGTTGAGAAACACTGAAATTAGCCGTAGGTTTATAAAGAGCTGCTTCTCAATCGTGGCATTGTTCACGTGTCTAATCATCTGTCAAAAATTTAGATAGATAGAAAGCAAACAAATCTAACTTAAAAAGGCAATCGTACAGTTTCTTCTTCCGTAGTAGTCCGTGTCTATATTTTGTAAAAAAAAAGAAGAAAAAAGAAAAGATAAAGCATTTTATGCGCATAAGGTTCAATTTTTAACTGCTTACGATTAATTTAGTTTCGTTCGGAGAAGAATAATTTGCTACGGCACTCTGTTCTGTATTCTGTTTATTTCGCAGTAGGAAGTGATATTCCACCATCTCAGACGCCACCACCAACCCCGATCGATACGAAGAGTGAAAAGCAGGAAAGAGAAGAAATTATTGTTGAAAAAACTCTTCTTGATGGAGGTAATGAAAAAAAAAAAAAAAAAAAAAAAAATTTCCTTTACTTAAACTTTTCAACTTGAAATCAAATTTTCATCATTATTTTAGAGCAACTTGCTGACACTGTGAAAACATTGCATAAAACTACGGAATCAACTTTTGAACGCATCTCCACTACCACGAGAATAGGTGAGTGGCACTTACAATCATTTCTATTATACTTATGCAAGCAATTAGAAGCAAGTGAATCTGATATCTTTTGTAATACTGTATATTCTTTTGTTGGCCTTTTCGTGTATAAGAAATCTAAACAATCTGCAGATTTGAGTTTGAATCTAAATTTATTTGTTTACTTATGTTTATCGTTTTATCTGGCAACATATTTGTACTTCTCATACAAATCATTGTAAAACTTTTTATCAATTTTTTTTTTTTTTTTTTTTTTTTTTTTTATTTCCTCCTTATGTTTAGGCTTTGTGTTTTAATGCTTTGTTTTAATAATTTCGGTGTTTTCCTGTTTTTTTTTTTGTTTTTTGTTTTCTATTTTTCTTTCTTCTAATTTTTATTTATTTATTTACCTTTTGCGTTTTTATTTTCTCTTTTAAAACAATACTAAGTGTCATATCAAAAGGCTTCTTGTATGCGAAGACATCATGATATCATTAACATTTCGACATGATTTCATATAAATGATAAAATGAAACCAAAGGAAACAAACGAAAAGCAATTATATAACATGTGCCCAATTTTACAAAATTGCGTGTATCTTAGTTAAAATTCACAAATGTATGTAAAAATTTTAAATTTGATACGATAATTGCGTAAATTATGCGTATTTTCTGTAAAGATGATACCGTCAAAAGTCCTGGATGCACTAATGCGAATCGACTTGAAGAAAAGCGACGGAGACAGAGACTGAGTGTGAGAAAGAGAGGAAGAGAGAAAGAGAGAGAGAGAGAGAGAGAGAGAGAGAGAGAGAGAGAGAGAGAGAGGGATTCATAACATCTTTGGCATTTTGACGGTTGTAGAAAATTATAACTCATAAGATTTTCTATTGTCCCTTGTAGGACTTGTATACGGGTTATGTTTAGTAAACTTGTAAGCCTTATTAGGTTATTCAGAAACTTCGTAGCCTAACATTTAAATAGTATAGATAATGTGTCAAATTTATTATCATTTTCGATCGCTAAGCATCGCTAAGCGTGTGATAGGAAAAATATGTCCCATTGATTTTACGATTCATTTGCGATTCTTGTCTGAAATGATTGTCTCCTTAGGCTAACCTCAATGAAGGCTAACCTAAAATTGATTGATTCGTTATTTGCGATGTAAATGTTTTTCCACTCATTAAAAGCAATCAAACACGCATCCCCTACTTTATTCGATATTGCCGATAGCAACATATTTAATGGATTGATTTGAAATTTCTGAATGACTCGATAAATAACTATAAAGACCCTATTAGCACTTATATATATTTTTATAAGTTATATAATGTACAGTTACTCCGATTTACCGAAATTTATTCAATTAAAAGACACATTTAGCTTCACATAAGCTCCGTTAATGAAAGACGGAAGACAACTAATTGCACAAATATAATAATAAACTGAATATTGAATGAAATTTAGTTAAACGGCAGTAAAAGGCTATATTCATATTGGGTCGAATCTTGGATAATCACTAACGAGGTTTGTACACTCTAATAATTGTATTTAATTTAAATAAATTGAATATGTTTTTCAACTATGTTGATTAAATACGTTATTCAACTAATTTGATTAAGCATAATGTTTAGAAAATATGTTTCGAAAATTCGCCTCTAACTTGAAAAGTTTCTCATAGGATTAGAATCTTAAAATGGCTTGTACAATAAAGTAGCTTCCTTTCGAATTTGTTACTATCAGCTCGATCAGATCAATATGAGGTGGATTTGTTCGAATTTTTGAAAATTACTCAAGTTTAATTCTTCAAAATATAGGTCACACTGCTACGTTTCAAATGAAATGATGAAGTTACGTTACATTTTTTTATCATCAAACTTTTTAACGATCAGTAGGAATGTGTAGAGAAGTCTCTATATTAGTATTTGCTTGGCCTTTTTTTAACAGCTGATTTACATCGAAATTGTACAAAATTTTTAAAAAAACATAACCTGTGTGACTCGTAGGAGGAGTAGGAGTCATTAACAAACAAACCAAGTTGTGTCCCTATGATAACCGTCGAATCAATTGTATACCAAAAAAGAAAAAAAAAAAAAACTGTCAATGCAGTTATGTGAAATTTTCATTCTGATAATAGCACGCACACGTTGCATTAGCTGTCATCTAAACATAGGATCCTTTCGATTTCTTATTGACGAGATTCGCTTAAATTTTTGTCGATTTCGTTTCACTTTTCTCATATGTAAGTAATTAGTAGAGAGATTACGAGACAAAAAATTAAAGAAATTTCCAAGCAAACGCTTAAAAGAAAACAACAACAATTGTTAACTTGATTTATTTTGGTAAATGCACTTGATGAGGTGAATGGATAAGAAATGGCGGTTTCTCCGGGAAAGACAAAAAAAAAACAACATATATTTTTAAATGTAGATTTTCGCAGCCACACACACGAGTATACGTATATAAGAATAGCATTGTAGCCATGTCCACAAACTTATATATATCTGAAAATATAATTTTCTTTCTTCTTTCTACGAAGAGTTTACTTTTTCTCATACAGATACAGATGCCTGTGTGTGTGTGGGTGTGTGTGTGTGTGTGTGTCTGTACATATATATGAAAAGACGAGACATATTTACTCATCTACTATTCAAAAACGTTTAAAAAGTTCAATGGCGTTCCGTGATTATAGTTTGGACAGATATGGTTTCCGAACGCAGTGAAGTGAATTGATCCACCCCTACAAAAAAGCAAAAACAAGTAAAAGCACTATAGTGATCAAAAATACCCTACGCCACGTCACTTAATGCAGTTATTTAAATGAGGATTTATATGAGACGTAGTGAAAAAGTGATTCGATCGTAAGCGTTCGTCCTTGAGTTAAAATACGTTTTAGTACAAAAGTTCACAACAAACGATGCAACTTGTAGCTTGAACACAAGAGAACGAGACGGACGAATGGGGAGACAAGGGACAAGCTTGGATCGATTCAGACAGTATCGGACAGAATCGTTTCTTCTAATAAAAGTTTATGTCTCTTTGAAGTTATTCCAGATGTTGCATACATCCGAACAAATTTAATATACTCTTGCATCACAAGTAATGTACAGTATAAAGAAGAAGAAGAGAAAGAAAACAATATGCACTGTGACACACATAAACATATATATTCTCATTCTCAAGGTCTTCAGTATATGTCTAATTTAATTAAGAGACCAACGCTGGCGTATTTGTTTAGCAGAAAATCTAAAAACCTAATGTCCTCTGAAATTGTGGTTAATAGTAATTTTTGTTATTTGATTGTGACAGCACGAATAAGAGAGGTTCCGCTTATGACAAGCGTTTAACTAGCGCTGAATGAAAGAACAGAACGACAATACAAATTGAATTTGTCATTTCAATTATTGATAAATATATGAATTGTTTAAACAATAACAATAACAATAGTTATAACAATAATAATAATAATAATAATAATAATAATAATATCAATTGTTATTTTAACACTGTTAAGGGTAAGTTATGATTATTTAAATTAAAACAATACGTATATACATACATACAAACCTACATATATACAAAGTTTCGTTACCTATATTGACGTAGGACACATAACGCATTAACGTTTTAACTGTTTAACGTTTTTAACATTTTATGGGATTAGTGATTTACTCCACAATAATATGGTGTGTATTATGTTATTTGCCGCTATTCTTGTTGTTGTTATTGAATTTTAGTTCTTATCTCTGTTACAATATAATTACTGTATAACAAATATATTTCAACCTGTTAAAAAAACGTTTGCAATTTTTAAAGTTAATCCATTTTTTATTTATTCCTGCGGCGATACAGTTCAAAATCAATATGAATACACTCGGAATTTATATATTTAATTCTTATATTAAATATATCTAATCTAAACATAATATACATATATATATATATATATATATATACGCATTTGTATATAGAGAAAATATTTGATATTTCATACTAGAGGAGAAAGTGAAAGAGAGAGAGAGAGAGAGAGAGAGAGAGAGAGAGAGAGAGAGAGAGATAGATGCTCGAATTTCTTCAATACCCATAACATGGAGAGCCACCTCCAAGTCGCCTAACTTGCACTAATTCCTATAACAACATTTTTGGTTTCAATTGTCCTTTTACGCCGAACGTGATAGCTTTTAAGCATTAAGCGAACTGTTTGTATAGAAATAAGTCGAGTCTTCCTTTTGTACGCAATTAAATTATTTTTTATCTTCACTTCTTAGACATAGTTTTTTTTTCTTCTCTTAAATTTAATCCTGTTACCCTTAAAGTTGTTTAGAAAGTTATCTGAAGTTAGATTTCGTTTGTTAGTGAATGCGAAAGGATTCGTGTTTGTGGCATCTCATATAAAAGAGAAGCATTTTATGATTTTATTTTTAAAAATATTTCTGTTCCGTTTTAAGTTTTTTGTTTTTGTTTTAAGAGCACTTACAAAATTTGCAAAATTGCCGTTTCTCCTGGAAATCTCAAATATATTCCCGATCATCCTTCGTTCCATTCAGTCAGTCTATCAAATTTTTCCAATTATTGTTATAGTAGTTATGTTCGATAAACTTTATAAAGCGCATCATACATATATTTTTCAATAGCATAGAATTAAAACTTTGTTTGCGGTCCCATCTACAGCACACGGTCGTTGCAATTCAAAGTTGATAAGAATAATAGACAGAAAAAAATGAAGTGATGGGTACGCATTAAGTTTAGTTGACAGATGCCTACAAAATAAATGAAAATAATTGAAAAGATCCCGGAAATTTTCTAAATTTCATGTTTGTTGTAATATTCTGCTGCAGATAAAAAGGAAATGCTTTTCCATTTACCGAAGGCAACTTTAAATGTGCTAACGCTTGTTAACGGCTATTCGAATTCACATAAGTAGTTGAACGTCGGAGGAAAAAACCTTAATCTTTCGATGCAGTTTCTAAAAAGCCACAGGAGTGGAACACTTGGTACATTGGTGCGTAGACAGTAGAATGCTTT